ATAATTATTTTTATAAAAAAGTTATATTATTAAACCAAATATAAATTACTTCGTTATTGTACCTAAATTAAATTGTAATAAAAAAAATTGAATTAAAAAATTACAAAAAAATGAGGAATTTCAAATAGTTAATTTGATACTAATATCAATATATTTTTGTCAAATTTTTATGATATCTTCAAACATATATTTTATTCAAAAATAAAAACATCATCGTTTTCTCAAAATCACATAAAACCATATTATAATATCGACTGAGATAAAAAATAAAATAAAATATTAAAATCACAATTTATTTTGTTACATTGCACGATTACGTTTCTAGTATAACTTAAAAAAAACCGTTGAATAGGTTTAAAAAATATACAAGACGCTTCTAAAAAGAGATTTACTTGTTACTTGGAGGGGAAGACACCAAGAGGGAGGGACGTTTGGGTTTAACTAGGGTTTTTTCTCTCCAACATTTTTCACTTTTTCTTCCAATTTGATTGCAATGAGTCGCTTCTTGAGATCTCATGGTGCGATTAACGCACTCCGATCTCTCAACCACATCCAACAATCTCCGATTAGAGCTTCCTCCATTCTAAACCAATCCCTTCTCCTTTCCTCTAATCGCTTCAAGTCGCCGTCTTCCTCCCCCTCCTACGTCCGCCATTTCCGTGCCTCTCGCGATCCCAGCAACAGGTAACCTAGATTCACCCTTGCTCTTTGTTATATACAGGCATATGTCTCCATTTGCCACACCACTATGGTGCTGCTATTTGGATTTTTGTCAGGTTCACACACACCAACACATTACGATCATCCATTATATTCTCTCTCGGCTGCTAGTGTACGTTGACTTTGTTTACTCAATGATTGGAATTTTAGTTATGATACTCCCCCTCCTGTTAATTGGGGCATCCGAATAGTACCTGAGAAGAAGGCTTACGTGATTGAGAGATTCGGAAAGTACGCTAAGACCTTGGAACCTGGGATTCACTTGTTGATTCCTTTTGTTGATAAAATTGCTTATGTGCATTCTCTTAAAGAGGAGGCAATTCCTGTCCCAGACCAATCTGCCATTACCAAGGACAATGTCAGCATCTTGATAGATGGAGTGCTCTACGTTAAGGTGTGTGAATGTAATACTGGGTTTAACATTTACCATCCATTGGCTTAATAATGATTCTTTCTGTTGTGTATATGAATATGTCGGGTACAGATCGTCGACCCTAAGCTGGCATCATATGGAGTGGAGAATCCACTATATGCTGTCATTCAGCTTGCACAAACCACTATGCGTAGCGAACTTGGCAAGATCACTCTTGACAAAACATTTGAAGAAAGAGACACGTTGAATGAAAAGATAGTGGTGGGTTTCTCATTTCAGTTGTCTTTTTATTATACCTTACTTTCTTGAGCCAACGATCTTAACTGTAATGTGCCAACTGCCAAGTTCACTTCCATGAAATATATCTTATATGCTTAAACGTTGTTGGTCTAGGACCTCTAGGAAAGCATACTGACAGAAGAAGTGATCCCTTATAACTGTACAATGATTGAAATTTTATGTGATATCATAGACAAGTGAAAAGATTTCTAGTTGAAAGACCATGATTTGGTTAAAAGATGATTGTATTATGAAACTCTTTTTTATGGTTTTCTGCAACTTTAGATTTATATTTGCTTCATTCGGGTGCATATTTATGGTGTGGAGCAGTCAAGCTTCTGCGAAGGTTTTTACACATGTCCCTATATATTTCTTTACACACTTCCCTTTTACAAAATAAACGATAAGACACTTAAGCTCTTGCATTAGGACATATGATGCCATAAAAGCAGGCTTTTGCAACGAACTTATTTTGATTCTGTTTGCTCTTTAATTGTTTGTATAACTATCAAAACTTTACATGTTATGATTTTGATGATAGCAACCCTAACTTATATTTTTATTGACAAGAAACTAGAGATTACTAGGTGCTGGAATGAGGATGCATAAAAGGTTAATAGAGAAAAATGGATGCTATAGACTCCTACATGCTTGTTAGAGTGTATGTAAAATATATAGGTATAGACTAACAAAGAGTGGGCCAAGGATATATCAAGAAAAAGCATATGAAGAATGCTCATGAAGAATGCACGAGAAATTAGGGACGAAGGGGTGGGAATTAGAGGAGAAAGGAGGGATTTCAATTGCATAAAAGATAACAAGGGAACACTTTTTTTAAGATGTTGAAGTTACAAAAGCATGGAGATATCACTTCGATAAGTTTTCTAATATAAACATGGAGGAGAGTGTAAGGAAACATGATTACTCTTTTGACGATACAAATAAACGTTTGTTTGTAGAATTTGTTTATTGGAGGCGATTCGAAACTAAGAAGTACTCACCAAAAGAGATAGAAGTAGTTAAACTCTTGGTTCTTATAGTATATCTAAAGAACTTTTGAGAGCTTTTTGAGGAGGTAAATATGGTATTATGTTACGGGTTGGGAGACGGTATTGTTACAACAACAATATTTTGTTAAACATAGGAGACAGTTGGATCGATAGTTGATTAATAGTTAGGAAGGTTGGTGAAAGGTAGTGTAAATAAGTAGTAGGGGCCAAGTAAAGGGATATTTAATATCTAATTTGTCTAGCTTGTAAATGGGTAAAATTGGGATAGTACTAGCCAAAAAGATGTTGGTTGACTAAGGAATCATTATTTTTTTTGGTCAAATTGGTGTTATGATGCACAACATACTAACATAGTGCATCAATTGGTATCGAAGTTGGAGATCTTGAATTCTTGGTGATGACCATGAGTTTGTTTTCTACCACAGAAGATCTTAAATGCATATGGTGGTGAATTATGTAAAAAGTGATTTGCAGGGAATGAAGAGAAGGCTTTGAGCACAAGATAAAGAAGAAGACGTAATTAGGGAAAAACGAAGTGGTTGAAGTAAAAATAGAGAAGGAAACAAAGGAGAAAACGCCAACGTTGGTGGCTTCCAAGAATGGGGATTCTAMCAGGGACAAGGAGTATACGGTTTATCAGGATTGAAATCTTTATGAAAGATTTGGGTATTGTGTCCTTCACATTTCCACTAACCTTCACACACACACACACACACACATACACACACATATATATATAATATGTATGCATACATAACTTAACATATCATATGCATTAATTAAAAAATATAGTTTCAACAATAAAGCATAAACTTAAACAAGTTTCATAAAAACAAAATAGGAAACTGGAGCAGAAGTTGGGAAGTAGGGCTGTTGAGTGTTGAGTTGACGAGGAGGCTGGTCGCTAGAGTAAGACTCGTGGCTCTAAAAAAGAAGACGGAGGAGGCTGGGAGTATTAAGGTCAAGACATCGAGTGAGGACCTATGCTGTTAAAATCGCGATATATCGTCGATATATCGGCGATATATCGGATATCGCTCCAAAAAAAAAATCGGAACTCAAATATCGGTCAAAATATCGGGAACGATATTATCGGCGATATTTTCCGATATTTAGCGATTTTTAGCGATATTTTCCGATATTTAGCGATTTTTAGCGATATTTAGCGATATTTAGCGATTTTTTGGGCTGATAACTTAAATTAGGTCTGAATCTTTCCACAACGTCTTCTTCTTCTTCACGTTCAACTTCAGTCTCGACTTCTTCACGTTCAACTTCAGTCTCGACTTCTTCACGTTCAACTTCAGTCTCGACTTTTTCTTCACAAATCACACTTCGACTTCAACTTCAGACTTCGACTTCGACTTCAAGTCTCGACTTCTTCTTCACACTTCAGTCTCGACTTCTTCTTCACACTTCAGTCTCGACTTCTTCAGTCTTCAGTCTTCAGTCTCGACTTCTTCAGTCTTCAGTCTTCAGTCTCGACTTTTCTTCACACTTCGACTTCAACTTCAGTCTTCAGACTTCTAAACTCTAATTAATGCATATTATATATATAATTCTAAGAAATATTACGTTAACCGCTATTTCCGATATATCACCGATATAACCGATATATCGAATATCGGTCCTGACCGATATTTCGTATTCTGACCGATATAACAGCATAGGTGAGGACTGAGGAGGACGATGATGTTGAAAGAAAATTGAAAACCTAATAAAGTCTTGTCTAAGTCGTTGACTGTTAAAGAATGGATTAAATGATTTAAAGTTTTAAACCATTAAATAAAACAAGTCCAAAGATAAAATAAAGGCCCAAGTCAAAATAAAAGCCCAAAGAAGACAAAGAAGACCAAAATGTAGGCATCAGATCAAAAAGGCCCAACTGCAAATAGTCGATATTGCAGACCATTATTCTATGTCAAATACCGTTGCAATAGTGGCAAATTGCACCGCTATTCTCAAAATCGCAATTTACCACAAATATTTTACCACTGCAAATTTGTATAGGACTGATAACCGCTATTGCAGCAATATTGCCCCGATTTTAGTAGCATAGCTCCAAACATCAAGAAAACACAACACAAGAGTGTGGTCTCAATTAGGAAATATATTGATAGTTCGTCTCTTGAGGATCTCTCCGGCAAGAGATTATGAAGCATCAATGAAGGCGAAGCTCACAACTTTGGGCCTTCAAAAACCTTTTATGTCTTGAGGGTTCTACAACAAACAGTTATTTGGAGTTTTGATTAGTGGGGTGAAGAAACCGAAGATGTCGAAGATTGTTGAGTGATTTAGACGATTGTGATACACTGTTGAAATTAATTGCTACTTTAGACAATTGTTGGGGTGAGGTGCATCTAGAGCGGCTTTAGGTGAGGGATGTGGGTCTTTCATCCCTATCTAAGTTTTCCAAATTGGAGATTACATACCGTTGAGACCTCAAAATGCGAAATACAAGGTGTTATTGCTGAACCTTGTCATTATTTCAATACTCAAGAAAGTATCATATTGACGATTGGGTAACAAACATGATAGGAAATGATAGAACTACGTTATCGTTTTCATTTTCAAAATTGCTTGAGGCGCATCTAAGGTGGGACGGTGGAAAAGCGTACCTAAGGCTACGTCTTTGCTGCCATGGATAAGGCATATGATTCAGATGGTTGAGGCAACAATAGTGAGACTGGCTAACTTGTGCATCTAGAAACACTAAGGCGTTTCTTCTTTCCATCCCTCACGTATTTTTGTCCTCCATTTTGTCCTATCCTTGAACCAAAGTTATTAAAAGCATGCTTGAGGTGCATTGGGATCAAGGTCTTGGGCTTTTTTAAGTTGAGACTAGGCATATTTACCGGCGCACTAAGCGCCCCTCCTTGGCTGAGACGCCTTATGGGCCCAAGCGTGCCGCATAATGAGTTATTGAATATTTCTCATCTTCTCATCTCTTTGACTTCTTAAAAAAAGAGTTATTAAATAGATGATATAACTCAAACCCTAATATTAAATATCCAGTACTTAGAACTTCAAGCCTCCTTCTCTGTAAATACCTAGACCTTAAAACTTCTCCCCCACGACTCACGCTTTAAACCTTTCTCCCTCTATCTAAGTACGGCTGGTTGTTGCACTTGAAGCTTGTACTTGTTTCATTGGAGGCTTTTACGTGTTGCTAAACTCTATTTTGAGTTGTGTGTAACAGTATATATATATCCACACAATAGAGAGGGAGAGAGAGAGAAATAAGAGATGCCTTGCATTTCTGAGGCCCGTGCTTCATGCTTGTGCTTCGCTTCTAGGCCCCGAGACCCCTTTGTGCCTAAATGCACCTTGAGTCTTTAACAACTTTGCCTCCAACCCATGCATTTCTCCGTTTCTCTCCATCCCAGAACTCCACATTTCATTTTCTTTCAACTATACGAGTCCATGTGCAGTTATCCTCACAACTCTTTCATGCATGCGCTCTTTGACACTACAATGTAAAAAAAAAGATCAAAATCGGCTGCCCAAAGTTAGAATTAGAGAAACCGAAGAAGAGTTGAAGTAGAACGAAAAGAGGTGTAGAATCCCTCTAGGGTCGTGCCTTAGCCTTTCTTTATACTTGCAACAAAGGAGCTATCTGGATCTTACTTGATATCTCGTCACTATCTTTTCCAGCAAAGCCGGTAACCTTACCCCATGCTCACCGTACAGTAAAGACAAAGACTCTTAACTTTACGGTCTTTACGATCTTATGGCCATAACATTACAACCTTCTGCAAATCTTTGATAGAAAGCTTGTCTCTTGTTTGTGACCCTTGGAGATCAATATAATGTTACAACCATCTTTTGGTTTTTCTTGGTTGCTTCTGCATATTCTTGAAAACCACTCAAAATACTCTTGATAATGTTACTGTGAGTGTTAGTATCCATGCTTCACTAGTTATGTAACTTGAGAACTGGAGGCCAATCATGTAGCAAAATGTACATGTCAGGCTGGATTTGTGGCCATAAATCGAGGGATGGGATTGGGAATGAAGATATATGAGAGGAGGTTGGGTGACAGGAGAAACCGAGGGAAGACTTCTGATGTGGTTTGGTAATATCTAACACAGACCTTCAAATTCACAGGAGAGGTTGAGGAAAATAGTCCCTAGAAGAGGTTGTGAGGAGAGGTGTAGATTGAACTTTGGGGAGAGGCGTGGAGAGATTTGCGTCAGTGGTGTATGCTAAATGTGTTCACCTTAGATAGGAGTGTTTGGAATGACGTCAATATGTCTTGGAATCCTAGGGGGTTCCACCTATTTATGCTTGCTTTTGGGTTGCATCTTCTATAATCTGTTCTTGTTTCATTAGCCTATCCCAACTAGCTTGGAATAAAAGACTTGTTGCCGCCATTGACAGAAGTTACATTTCTCTTGAGGATTAGGATTAGCAGAGTACTCATCGATGATCTTTAAGCTCCCTTAATTTCTATAGTCTGGATCAAAAGCCAGGAACAAATCCACTGTGGTAGATAAGGTTTGTTTCGATTATTTTTCTTCAGTTGGCATATGAAGTCTGTTTGCATCAGATTGATGATGCATTTACTGCATCATGGTTCCTCAACTGAAGTACAGGTGCTTCTGGTAAGTATTTTAAATCCCTTAAGTGCGAATGTAAGGGAGGCATGCTTTTGGTTGAATTGGTTCTATGGTTTACTTAATAGGAAAGTAATGACATGAAATAATTCTGTTGTTCAATTTCACGATTTGATTCTCTTTAGGCTTTATGGTCAGTGGCTATGAATGGGGCAACTAATTGGTTAAATTAATGACTAGTAAAATTCAACTTAATTCTGCCGCCTTGGAAATGTGAAAGGTCTAATTCTGCCTTTCTTAATGTGCTGTTTGTTGCATGTTGACCTTGGTGTCATACATTTAAATATTGTATACCAACTTCCCAAGAAGTAATTCTATAATTTGGTCTTTATAGTGTTATCTTATCGGGTATTTAGCTTATTGTTGCCAAGTTCAGTCGCGTGAAAAAGGAAGGGGATATTATGTATGAATTCAGCAAACAAAAATGCATGTGCGTTTTCAAGATAGAGTAGGAGGATAGGAGCCATTGAAGTTCTACAAGGTATATAGAATTGCTGAAAATAGTTAATTTCTGGAGCTACGCTCATAATTAGTTGTGTCATTTCTTTTTTACCATTTGAAATCATTGTGAACTCGTTGCTAGTTGGAAAGGACTCTCGTTGCATGTTATACAGTATGTGCATGTATCTTTTCATTATTGTGATAATAGCTGTGAGAAAGAGTGGGGTTTGGACATTAATTTGCACGAAGTAATGGCTGTCATAATGTACTTTTCTGCAGATAGCCATCAATGAAGCTGCAAAAGATTGGGGCTTGCAATGTCTTCGATATGAAATAAGTAAACTATATTATTTCAGTCGAGCATAATTTTAAGTTGATACTTGAACTATTATACTTAGTTAAGAATAGTTTGCCTTACATCTGACCTCTTTTGTATGTAGGGGATATATCTCCTCCTCGCGGTGTCAAAGCAGCTATGGAGATGCAGGCAGAAGCTGAGCGTAAAAAGAGAGCCCAGATTCTAGAATCGGAAGGTAATAAAGCCCCTCTAATGTGATGTTTTTATACCCTAAATTTACAAGGTGCAGCATATCATCATAATTAGTCTATTTGTTTCACTGGAGTCGCGAACTTGTGCTAAAACATGCATGCTTTTATTTCTGAAGTCTATACTATAAATTCAAATACTCATCTTCTGTAAATTCATTGGGACATTTTGGAACATAATCAAGCATATGGGAAATCTTAGAAATCATCATTTTACTCTTTTAACAACCTATATTCTTGCATGTCTTGTCACTAGTACTGAGAGCCTAAAGATTTATTTGTAATTCATTTCATGGGTGAATGGAATTGTATTTGCACTCACAAATATGTGATTAAGAATTACTGCTATACTCGTATATCTGACATCTGTAATTTTCTATTTTCCAGGAGAAAGACAAGCACACATTAACATTGCTGATGGAAAGAAGAGCTCTATGATGTTGGAAGCTCAGGGTAGGTTGGCATATAGAACTTAAAAGGTTAAAATGTAGATCTATTTTGCAGATACCTTAGACCTTGTGTCAGTTGTCTACCTTTGGACTTTCAATGGATTATATTTGTATGAAGCCTTGTAGCTTTTAACAAATCATGACGCACACTATGCCATTTTTAATGGTTATGTGGGAACATGCTGAATTCAAAATATTCCTAGTTCAACCTACTATGGCGAATAAAGAATATGAACTACAACCAGGAATGATGCGTCATTTATATTTTTGACCATCTGCATCATATAAGCTCATTGTTTCGCTTTGTTAATGACATCCTGATACTGTTCTGCATATTTACAATCTATATTGTAAGATTGCCGAAATGGATTAAAAAATAATTCGGAGGTTGTGCTCCATTTTAGTTTTCATCATTTCTTGTTTATAAAACTATGTTAACCTTGCTATTTTTGTTAATTCAGGAGAAGCAGAGGCTATTTTAGCTAGAGCTCAAGCAACAAATAAAGGAATTGCTTTGGTCTCTCAAGCTCTTAAAGAAAATGGAGGAGTTGAGGTAAGCTCTGTGGAAATAGCTTGATGTTTATGCAGATTTGCACTTTCTTTACACTGTTGAAATTTCTTTTATGCTTTTTCTTTTTTCAAATACCAATGCAAGTCTATGGCATCTAAATCTTTTTTGAGCAATAGACAATCTGACCCTCAAAATGCCTCCCATATTCATTTTGGGTTTTAACCAAAAATGATTCCTGCACTTCAATCGTGCAAACCCTTCTCTCTATTTTTTTGGCCTTGTTTTAGCTTCTGGAACTCATGATGCATTGACTCAGGGATCATATTTGTTTCCATTGATTCAAGAACCAAAGCCCCATCATTTTACAGATCTATTCATTCTTGTGTGTACTTGTCATTTGTTCCTTTGTAATGGTTTTAGTAACTTGTATTTCTATCGCTAAAAAATTTGAGTGAAACCACTGTCTCTTGCATCATATGTATTTAAGTTGAATGGCGGTTCGATTTGCAGGCAGCAAGCTTGCGCATTGCAGAACAGTACATTAACGCATTTGGAAATGTGGCGAAGGAGGTGAGTGGTCATACATGAACTCTCTGCATCTTGTGAATAAGGTTGTTGCTTACTAGTGGGTCCATGTTTGTAGGGCACGACTTTATTGCTCCCTATGAATGCTTCAAATCCTGCCAGCATGATGGCTCAGGCACTAAATATATACAAAAGCTTAATCGGTCAGGATCCTGGAAATGCATCCCTACCTGAATCTACAGCAGATGGCAAGAAGGAATCGTATATTAGTGGAGCTGAACATGAGAGCCACTCGGTGAATTCTAGCCTAGGATCACCAGTATTTTCTCTTCAAAACAAAAGGAAGAATTGAGGAAAATTTTGAGTTGCATTACTCGGCTGAGATGGCTTGATTTTGGTTAAAATATCTTGTTGTTTTGCATATAGCTTCACTTTTTAGTATTAGGTTAATGGAATTGTGATTTTGAATGGAGTGGTAGAAAGTGGACTACTGACAATAAATGAACAAGTTTAGAACCTAACCCTGTTTGTTTATTTATTTATTGATTGTTGAAGGACAAGATCCTCCAACTCCAAGGGTAAGAAGTAAGAAGTAAGAAGTAAGAAGAAATCGTTTGGTCCATAGACTACTCTACTCATCACGAAATAGCTTTCAAAGAAGCCCCATTACTATTGAGATTTAACCAATAAGCAGGAGCTATGTGTAATGGCCAGCTCAAAGGGATTTGTATTTGGGCATAAACTATTAGATAGGAACATGGCGGGGCCGTTTACCAAACACTTAGCCAGGTAAGCGCCTACCAAGTCACATTACGTTACCGGATGAATATGGTAAGGACTAAGAATCTTACCCGGTAAGAGCGAGAGAGAAGGACCATGAGTCTTACCCAGTAAGTGAGAGCGTCGACTCTTACCACAATAAGCGTTTACCGGGTGAATTGTTGCATACAATGTCGTAAGCGTTTACCGGGTGAATTGTTACATACAATGTCGTTTTGATGAACTAAAATCTTACCCTGTAAGTAAATAATAGTGTTAAATTTTATTGGTAATCCCTTAGCCGGGTAAGTGTTTGGTAAACGGTAAGAGAATCTTTGCATCCTATAAGTTGCATTTGTAGAATCTCTGTGTCCCCATCCTCACAACAATTATGAAGATGAAATGGTGAACAAGATCCAGGTCATGCATTTCAAACTTGAAGAAGTAAAATCTGAATTTAAGCCTAAAAGACCAAAGAATCAAGCCGATTCTCAGTTCATATATACAACAGCAAAGACAAAAATAGAAACAGCACTGCAAAAGAAATCATAATTCCTCTTCCTCGTATATAAATGAAATTATACAAAGACTGAATGAATGAATGTAAAAAAAAAACAACCACCGACCGACTTGAATGGAAATCAAAGGAGGCCGAATAAGACGAAGAATCCGAGAAGAATAAGCCAAAGAATGTGAACCAACAGAAGCGCCTGACCTGATACCGGCCCACTGCCTCCATTACAAAACCCAAGCTTGGCCACACGTGTACCGGCACACAGCGCCTCCGCACATCCGCACCAATACGTAACATTGTTCACGCCGCAGACGGGAGCCGTTCTGAAGCACTTCACCGGGCATGATCCGGGAGTTAGCGTGTCGGGGCATAGATATACGTCATCGGATGGTAGCCGGAGAAAATGTGGATTGGATCGGACGGTGGCGAAAAGGGTTACTGCCGTGAAAATGATGATCAGAGGTGGTGGTGTGTACATGATGAGGGAGGTAAATGAAACCCTAGAGAGAATTTGGTGGTTGATAATTAAGGGGTTTTCGAGGAGCTATTGGATTCGACGGTTTGGCGCAATTTGCAGGTATTATTATTATTATTATTATTATTATTATTATTATAATAATAATTATTATTATTATTATTTTTTACGTCGTTAATTTGCTGGAATTAAATTAAATCTCAAAAGGTTATTTGGCATAAATAAATAAAAAAAGTTGACCCGACCCACCACAGAAGCAGAGTTGATGATAAACAACAACAATCGTCTTCTTCTTCTTTCATCTTTCTCCATTCAAGTCATCTGTAAGAATGATTTCTCTGGCTCTCCCAACCTCATCGTCTTACACTCTCACCACCACAACTGCCGCCATCAAGATCAGGCTCAGGACTAGAGCTTTCCTCAAAAAATCTACCCCCCAAACCCAAACCCAAACCCAAACCCAACTTCAACTTTCACCTCTATCTCCCCTTGTTCAAAATACTTTGAGGGTGCTTGAGTGGGATAAACTCTGCGATTCCGTTGCTTCCTTTGCTGCTACCTCCTTGGGTCAACAAGCCACCAAGGTTACTTATTTTCTCTATCTTCATTCTTCGTTTTCTTCAACCAACGCTTCCCTATGTTCTTTGTGTATGGCAGGCAGACCTACTGTCTTTGAATCAGTCATACCAAGACAGTTTGAGACTATTGTCAGAGACCAATGCCGCCGTTGAAATGCACAAGCATGGTGGTTGTGTCATGGATTTCACTTGCATCGATACCGCATTGGTTGGTGCTCTCTCACCTTAACTTCACCATCTCATCATATACAATACCCTCAAATTCTATCATTCTTGTAGGTCAAGTCTGCTGTACAACATGCTCACAGAGGCTTTCCTGTTGATGGACTTGAAGCAATGGCTCTTGTAGCCATGTTCCAGTTGGCTGACTCATTGCAGATCAATCTCAGAGCTGCAATAAAGGAAGACTCTGATTTGCTACTGCGTTTCATGCCAATTGCTGAAATGGTATGTGTATGATGAGTGATTGCTTAGTATTTATCCCTCTGTGATGTTATGCTGTATCACTTACTCGCAGATCATGGATATGTCCGTTAGTCGCCCATTGGTAAAGTTCATACAGAAACTTGTAGATGAAGATGGCTGTGTCAAAGATACTGCGGTATGCCACTAACGCACTAGGTCTTCGTAGATATAGTTCTGAGTAAAAATACTCAGGAAGAAGTTCATTTTCTCCCACTTTTTTTCCCTTGTGCTCCGTGTGTTTCTTCTTAGAACTGCGTCAGAAGAAAAGATGTTTTATTGGTTATGGAGGACTTCAGTCCCATGTACAAGCTGTTATTCTCTACATGTCCAGAGGTATATTCTTGTATTAATTTTTCATCCCCCCCCCCTCTCAATTTTGTTTTTCAGAGTCCTTCCTTGAAACGATCTCGTGAACAAGTGCGGCTGCTTGAAAGAAAGGTTTCCATCTATTTCCTTTAGTCTAATTGTTAATTGGTTTTTAAATGAATTGAGTTTGATACTTAGGTTAAATTTTAATCAATCTAGAGCGCATGCCCAAACAAAAGCATGAAGGGGACATTCCTAGTAACTAAAGCATAAGCATTTTCTGCCAGCATATCCATCTGATTGTTTTCCAATGATGAATTTTTGTGTTCCCAATGTAAGCAATCATTGTTAGGCTGACTAATCTACTTTTTCGAATTAAATTATTTTATTGCACTTGGAGTTCATCATATGGGCCTTCACATGTCTCTTTAAACCTGTGTGTGTGCACCCATGTACAAATATAAGTGTGGCACTACAAAGATTGGAAGATTAAAAAATCCTGTGTTTTGTCACAAATACTTAATTGCTTGTGAAAATTTATTTTGTGGAAAAGTTTGTATTGCCCACTATTTTACACCATTGCAACTACAAGACGTTGCTGATTTCAAACAAGCTTTTATAGGGCCAACCAGAAATTATATGGAAGGCTATAGTACACGAACAAGATTACGTAAGACCAAACCCTTAGCGTTAGAGATGAAATCGTCTGTTCTCTATTCAGGTTATCACCTGTTGGCCTTTTAGTTCTATAAAGAAGAAAATATGAATAATGCCAGAGGGTTTTGTGTAGATGTTTGGAACAAGGAGGCATGCATACATCATGAAAACCTTGTGTAGCCTGTATTATCGGTTGTCAGTCAATGCACACCAGTTTGGTGGAATATACAACTTTGCGTGCCCGCATCCTCAATGTTCAGAAATTTAATATTTGAATTTGTTATTGTCTCACTATGAAGATTTAATACGCTGGAAATTTTCTTGTATATTACAGTTACCTTCTTTCTTATTCAGTTATGCCAGTTGATGGAGAGTTTAATCAGTAGTGAGATGAAAGAAACATCATCTGTGGTAAGATATGCTTTAATATTCATGCTTCAATCTCTTATGGTTTTACCCTGATCTTTTTTTTTCCTAACTGATCTAGGAAGTAAGCAACACTGATGGAAGATGGTGTATAAAATCAGGAACTGATCTAAAAAGAAGCTTTGATGGTTTGTTATTATCAAGGTGCACCTAACTTTGTGCATGCTAGACTCCATTGCACATCTCATAGTTTTGTGTCCTTCATGGCATTATTTATAACTCGGGGGAAGACCAACTGAATTTTGATTGTTAAAATGTTTTGAGTGGTGTATGTAGCTTAGTGTTGTTGCTCTTGAACTTTATTGTAGGATGAAGAGTTCTGAACTTCTAATATATTCTACTTGAAGTATAACACAGATGCACATTACCGCCATAGCATTATTTATCCTTGTTCTTCATATTTTACCTTATGCACACAGTCCTGGGAGTTAGTGATACGAACACCGATTCAAACCCTAAGGTTAAGATCGATGGTTGCCTGTATTCGAGAACAGGGGGTCTCCCAATTAGCCAAAGACTAAATTTTTATTAATTCCCTGCCCCAAAGGAACAATGGTGCACCATATTTATAGTGACCTGCTATCAAGGAAACCTAAAATAAAACCAAATCCTAAAATGAAGGAGATTATCTTTGCCTAATAAATATGTTTCCTAAATAAAGATAAACCTAAGTAAAGCTAGATACTTTGCTTAATTAAATACTAATGATATCCTTATCCCTGTTTCCTTGCAAAACGTCTCTGGTAAACCTGACCGTGTCGAACCGGCTTATCAGTTAGGTGCACATTTGATCATGAACAGAAGTTTGGACCTTTGGTACAATATATCTCAAAAGAACTTTATGCCGATTTTTTTTCATGTTTGCTTGAATCTTGTATATAAAATGAAACTATTCAACGGTAATGTTTTCCATCAGCTAGCCTAGCTCATACATGTTTCTTTCTTGCCTACAATTGGAAAATTTTTATTTACTTTTGTTTCTCTGCAAGTGAAAAATACATACATGTTAGAAATTGCTACTGCCTTCCCCTATTCGACAGAAATGTCTTGCAATGATGGTATTATTGCACTCTAGTCTTGAATAAACTCGTGTCTGAGATAAAATGCTCTGTTGTAGTGGCTCAGGCACTGGAACCCTTGTGGAGCCACTTTCTGCTGTTCCATTAAATGATGAGTTGCAACAAGCTAGAGCTTCAGTAGCTAAGGCTGAAGCCGATGTGCTTTTAGAAATAACACAAAAGGTAAGTAAATCACATCGGCTATTTATGGTTCTCTGCTCTTAGTTGCAATGTTTTCATGATGTTATTCCTGCACAGATGCAACCAGATCTTGATGACATAGAAAATTTGTTTAACACGACAATCAGATTAGATGTGGTGAGTATCCATCTCTGTTTAACTTTCAGGTTGAAATGCCTATTCTCATACTCTGTTACTACAGTGGTAAATGTGCAAGCAGCATCTTTTTAACCAAGCATTTACTATTTTCTTTGTCATTTTCTTATGTTTTAAAATTTCAATTCTCCCTTCATCAACAGTGTTTGCCTTTAGTAAAGAATCTTCTGTTTATATATTTTTACTGTTCTTTTCGTCTCATTGAGCAATATTGGGGAAAACACTAGTTTCAGGATAATACCTATGCTGCTATAGCGGTGAAAATACAAATTTGTGGTCGGGACCGATATTTAAAATAGCGGTTATAGCGGTCCAAAAATAGCGGTTCATATAATATTTCTTAGAATTATAAATAATTATATATATATATAGTATGCCTACATAAACATATCATTTACAAAATAGGAAAAGTGTTCATAAACGAGCTAGTCGCAAGCAATAGGTTCAGCATCTGAGCCAACATCATTAATACGTTCACTTCTTCGTTTAGGCTAGCTTCCCATTTTTCCCCTTTTCCCCCTTCATCTCCAGCGTGATCATCATCATCATCATCCCTAACGTTAATATCGAACGCAATTTACTCTAAATATCGGTCAAAATTGCGGTAAATTGCGCTACCGCAATTTGACCACCGATATTTTGCGAAGGACCGCTATCCGAGATATCGCCGCAATTAACAGCATACCGCAATTTTGACGAATATTTTGCAAAGGACCGCTATCCGAGATATCGCCGCAAGTATCAGCATAGGATAATACATGTCAACTATAAATATAAATACTACCAAACGGATGAAAGAGATGGATTATCTCTATACACACCTTGTATTTTGGAGAATCGGTAGCCTTGCCTTTTTCTCTTGTGAAATTTCAGAAAATAGAGTCAGTTTTTTTGGCCATTATTCATTCATCTATAGCTTTAGTCATCTGGGTAGATATGAATGTCACCATGATTATTTTCTTTATATTACAATTTCTATTATAAGCAGTGAAGAGAGCATGATATCTAGAATGCTATCCAACCTTGATCTGTTATCAAACTAGTTTAGAAATTGGCAGTTGAACAAAAAATGAAGCAGACTTTCTGTACTGAGAACATATACAAGGCCATGCCTTTCATTGATGTTTGTTGAAGTACTCTTTCTGAGATTTTATAATGTCTTCTGATCCTTCAATATGATGCTTCCGACTTGTAGGTCAAGTCATGAAGGCAGTAGCATGAAACATAATACCTTTAGTCTTCCTTTTCTCTATCTATGAAATAGATTTTTGTACTGAGAAAATGATTTGTGTTTCCTCATCGGGATTCTATCCCTCTGAATCATGGACCATCTCTCATGGATTCTTGTAGTTATTGTGGCTGGTTAAACTTTCTGTGTGTACAATAACAATGCTCAACCTTTTTTCAACTGTGGTCCACTTCTAAGCAGATCAATGCTCGGGCAACATATAGTATTTCATTTGGTGGCACTTACCCAGAGCTGTATTCTTCTGAGGATTCCTCAGTTGTATCACAACTTGCTGAGACGAAATGGAAATTGTATCTCCCTAAAGCTTATCATCCTCTATTACTTCAACAGCATCGACAAAAATTGCAGAAGGCTATGAAGGATGTCAGTGATGCTACTGCTGTAAGTTTATGTTCAGTAGCAATGTTAAACTACATAAATTCATGGCTCCTTGTCATTCCTTAGTGTTATATTCCACTAGGAAATTAGAAGGAGAAGACAGCAGGCTGGCATAGCCACTCAGAGAGAAGAAGAAACATATTCAAGTCTCTCGTCTTTAGAAACGCAGGTAACTGTTTAAGACCCATGAGTGTACAACAGTTATTGATCTTTATGTTTGAATGTTCACTTAAAAGTTATAATCTTTCAGGTTGCAAAGTTAAAAAAATCATCCCCTGTTCCTGTCGACATATTTGTTGCACAGCGAACTAGAGTATTGGTCATAACTGGCCCAAACACCGGGGGAAAGACCATTTTCTTGAAGACAGTTGGGTTGGCTGCAATGATGGCGAAATCAGGCATGGGTTAAATGATCATCTATATTCTATGTTTGTACTAAATTAGTAATATCAAGATCAACCTTCTGTACTTCCTGAGACTGCCAACATCTTATGTTGCCTCTGACGTCGTCTCATTATTCTGAAATTAGGAATGTTATCAATGAATTACCCACAACCATTTTTCAAAACTTGATATGAAAAGAGCATTCACCAGCAAGCCTGTGGTCCAATGGCATAATTAGAACATGCACTGGTAGAAAATGTAATACAGCTTACTATGATCACGTTGAGTCTGAAGGAAAGTAAATGAATTATTGTTCTTTAGACCTGCATGAACTGTTGTACACCTTGTGGAGTTTGTTTTTCACTCCTTCAGTTTTCTTATGTGTAACCTTAGTCAGAAAGGAGTGAAGAGCCCCTAATTTTTACAGTTCTTGCGTTAAATACGCCGATCTCTGCATTAAGGTGCTTTATACTTTACATCACTTCATGTCTTGGTGATTGTTTCTACAGGTATATATGTGTTGTCATCTGAACCTGTGAAGATGCCATGGTTTGATTCCGTATTTGCTGATATTGGTGATGAACAGTCTTTGTCTCAATCTTTGTCCACCTTCTCTGGCCATTTGAAACAAACCAGTGTAAGCTGTTAATATTGTCAAAGTTAGAGCAGCATTGTATAATGTTGTGTGACATGTCAATGGTTTAATTATGTCCTTATCTCTTGCTGCATTGTGTATCTATTCATTATTCGTGCTCTTCAAAGTTCCTATGCTCTGTTGAAAAGTGCTAGTAGATATGTTGCAGCTCGAAAGCTTAGATTGATTGGAACTTTCTAAGATCGTGTTTCAGAATCCTTGTTTACTTGATTTTTCTAAATAATATACAATGGCAATGGTTGTTGCTTGGTTTCCATATATTGCTCACTGGTTAAGTGGAAGGCTAATCTAGAAGTTCTTTCTTCTGATGTATTTCAGGACATACTGTTGCATTCATCAAGCCAATCATTAGTTCTCTTAGATGAGGTATATCTGTATCAGTTGAACTTTTGATTATCTTAGCTACGCTAACATGTACTCACATTTCCTGGATCCAGTGGCATGGCTGGCCAAATGCTAGTAGAACCACTTACTCCCTGAGTTTAAGGCAGACTTCCCAGTCACTTGATGTATAGGAGACAGGCATGATGTTTTGGTCCACTGCCAGAATTTATGTGATCCCATGATCTTTATTTCTCAATATTACCCCTTGACAAGGACCTGAACCTACATTAGCTGAGATTTTAAGTCGAGCATGTTTACTGTCTCGCCACCTAGCCACTTGAAAGTGATTGTAGTTCAATAGTCTATTCAACAAGTGCACCAAAGTCAAACATGACATTTAATCTGGGACAGGAGTCCATTACATATCTAGTTTGACCAGAAAGATAGTTAACATATAATTTGCTGAGGCATTATGCATATTATTTTTATGAAGTACACATAATCTATATCATCATGAATTAAAAGTGTTCCAGGGGTACTATCCTTTTTATCATAAAATTAATAATTAATAGTATCTGGCTGCATGCTTTTAGGTTGGTGCTGGTACGAATCCCCTGGAAGGTGCTGCTCTGGGTATGTCACTCCTAGAATGCTTTGCTGAAGCTGGAGCTTTGTTGACAATGGCTACTACCCATCATGGCGAACTTAAAACCCTGAAGTACAGGTAGTGCACACTAGTTGAAGATGAACATTAAATATGAAATGAGGACTCCCTTTTCCTGCAATCACTGGTTCGTGTTTTTATAAAATTACCTTACAGCAATGATGCCTTTGAAAATGCATGTATGGAGTTTGATGAAGTGAATTTGAAGCCGACGTATAGGATCCTTTGGGGAATTCCAGGTTTCCCTCTTTGTGTCTATTGCTAGCTTCCCCTTTCTGAATGCTATACAGCTAAATGAATCGTTAACATTATGTCTCTTGTCTTCTTGGAAAATAGGTGCCACTGATGTATACATAACATGTGACTGGCAATATGATAGTTAGTTTATGAATGCAGGACGTTCAAATGCAATAAACATAGCTGAAAGGCTAGAACTCCCGAATGTGGTTGTAGATAATGCTCGTGAACTCCATGGAACAGCTAGTGCAGAGATTAATGAGGTGATTTGCATGGCCTGCTACTTCTAGACATAAATTGCATAGTAGAAGAATCCAGGGAACAAATATTTGATCCACCCATTGCAAGTCAAAGATTTTTAAAAAATGAGTTGTGGAAATCTTTCCATCTTACTATCTCATGGCTTGCATTCTAGTTGCTCTTAAAGCATGCTTTGAGGATGAACTTTACTAATTTGCTATGTGGAAATTGTGAGTTTGTATCATCTCTACATAAAGTGAAACTCAAACTTGCCAATGTCCCTGTTCTTTAGTTTGTTGCAGATATTAAATTCAGTCATTGTGTATCAGTTATTATCATACTCATACTTTCTGCACTCCTCTTTACATGTATTTAATGCAGGTTATAGAAGATATGGAGAAGTTCAAGCAGCAACTTCATGAGCATATTCAGGAAGCACGACGTCATCTTAAGTGAGGACCTTTTCTGTGTCTATAATATCGTTGATAAAATTCTGTGGCATATTTACTACTATTTATAAAATAACTGCTACTTTTCAGGCTTGCTAGGGAACTTCATAGAAATCTAGTGGTTACTGAACGTAGGATTAGCGAACATGCCACCAATCAAAGATACAGAAAAATCCAAGAAATATCGAATGCTGGAGGAGGAGCGCGTTCCATGCTTCACAAGAAAGTGCGACAGCTTCGTGCATCCCCAAATTTAGCTTCTAAGGGAGACCATATGGTGATCTCTAGCATTCAATCTACTCAGAGAGAAGAAGATGCTGTTTCCACAGGAATGTTGAGCAAGAGCAATGTGCCATTAGGTACTTGGCCTAACTATAACTATAACTATGACAAATGACACTTGGATTAATAATCGGCAATTTGCAGAAAAGAGGAGCAAAGTTCATATGGTGAAGGCTGGTGATATGGTGCATGTTTCTAAACTTAACAAGAAAGCGACCGTGTTGAAAGTAGATCCTAGTAAAGAAGAAATACTAGTTCAAGTCGGGAACTTGAAGTTGAAGTTGACACCAGGAGATGTATTTTGACAGGAATCAATTACAAAGGAATACTGTAGATAGCAGCGATACTCGTAGATATTCAAAATGGCACCAGTTTTACTCCCTAACACAAATATGTTTGCTGTTTGGTTTATTTCATGCTGTTGGTTGAGGCATTGATTCAACCCAAATATTACCTGCATGGGGACCTTGGGCCAATCTACTACACGCTAATGATGGTCTTTTAGATTTAACATCCTACAAAAATGGTAGACTTCAAGAGCTCTTTCTCTGCATATCCTCCTACTTCTTATTCTGAGGGTCATAGAAAGATACGAAYCGCCTACTCTTTAAAGCCCTACCATTAGATTTAATAAAATGAATCTTCTCCTTACAAGCTAGGTTGGTTCAGATGCTTTTATTTCCATCACAAATTTTTACAGTTTTTATCAACATACCTCCTCCTGCTGCTACTACATCTGTAATCTTTGTTGATTTCTTTATTACTTCAACTCACAAGTTAACATACTCCCTAAATACTGAAATAAGAACAAGTCTGGTGCATGCTAGTGTTGTGTGATTTGTTATGGTCTTGTACATTGATGAACCAAAAGATTCACAGTTTGAAGCCAACTGGGAAAATCTAGCGTATTTCAGATCAATTCCATACAAAAGAATTCAACACGGTTAGGGAAATGGTGGTAGCGAGGAGCAATCTGTCACTTACTAAGGTGAGAACTCAGTAATGGATTTCTGGTAATAGGACAATCTTTTTTTGGTAAACCCCTTTTACACAATAGGGGGTGATAAAGAGGTTAGTAAACACAAGGATTGAAAATTAAACCAACGAAACCACAAGACATGAAGGATGCATGTGTGTCCTTCATTTTCTTCATCATAAATTTGCCAGAAATCATAATAGGCTAGGCTACACTCCCACACTTCAATTATCTGGGATAACAGGTTTAATACAAATCAGTTGATTGCATCCATGACAACTGTGACGTCCCTCATTTTTTTGTCTTGGTTTTCTTTGCAGCTGGAGCTTTCCTTTTAACCTTCTTTGCTGGCTTTTTCACAGCTGTTTTTCCCTTCTTTCTTGCTGATCCCTGAACCCAGAGCTTCTATTATTAGCAAGGCAAAGCATGTTGTGGTGCTTAATTACATGTTCATGTAAAAGTAAAAGTAAAAAGGCATACAGATATCTTCTCAGCTTTTCCCCTGCCTTTTCCATTGGTATGTGGCTCAGAACCCTCATTATCCTCAGTTTGACGAATGGTATCATTATCAGCTTCATCTTCAGAATTAAATGAAAAACCTTCCAAGGTTCCTACTCATGCAGAAAAATGAACTGAGGAAATGGAAAATGCAAGCTAGAGCATCTATAGGAGCCATCGAAAGGAACCTGACCTTCGACCATGGTTTCTGCTTCATAGACATTTGATTGTGGCTTCAGCTGAATGAAGTCATTCATGATTGCTTCTATCTGATAAAAAAATGCAGTGTTTAAACTACCAGTAATATAACTCGGTTCGAATTGAGTTAAACACAAAAAATGCGGTGACTCCAGGCTACCTGCAAAGCACCTAGTCGCCATGGGATTAGTCGGCTCGCATAGGGGGTTGGATATCCAAGTTAATAAAAAAAATTTGGTTTATTTACTCATTAATCAACCTTCATCCAAAAATGGATAGAACCTAGCCAAAGCTTCTCATTGGCAGGAAGGAGAATATACAAACGATGGAAAGTAAGGTAAGAACTCAAGGAGAACATGTAACTGGAAAACAAACCTTTGCTTCTGACTGGCCAAAGCTAACCTGAAGAAGAAAACTTAATATGTTAAGAGATATTTTTACGTCATATTTATTTAAATAAACTTGAGATTCCAAGAGTTTTGCATGTGGGAAGAGAAATTTGGATATGGTACGTACAACACAGAAAGTTCTTGAAGGTATTATTGTTGTTTTGTAGATAGTTCCTGGAAAAAAAAAAGAATGCAAAAATAGTAATATGTACTAAATGAAGCCAGAGCAAGCTATGAATATTCCCATGAAGAAGCTCATGGATTCATAATTGGATGTGACACACAAGAAACTGATCTCGATGACTGTTCGAGAAGAATATGACCATACCAAAGATTCACCGCAAGAAAAATAATGCACACCTTTCAAATCCAAAAATATATCTTGATTGCCAGATGGGGAATCTGATATGACCACCCTCCCAACAGAGCCCAAATCACCACTTAGATCAATGGATTCACCTTCACACTCCACAAGTGCCTGCAAAATTTAAAAAGGCATTTACTGACAAGAAGCTCTATCCACTGACTATCTCAGACGCCAAAAAAGTAAGAGACTCCAGAGCAAAATAAGCAAAACACAGAACTGTCAACCCCAGTTTCTAATATCATCATGGAATAAGTCGGTACTATCACTTGTGTAACAATTGATTAACATATGAAAACAATTATTGGTCCCTCACCCTGTGAAAATAAATAAATAATGCCAACAAATGTATCCTATTCAAACTCTCCTTGATGTGAACAGATATTTCCTGTACAGTCACGATGCATTTTGGCATTGCAACTTGCATTGACTAACCATCCCATGTCTGTGAAACAGAGATTAATTGACTAATGTAGTAAACATGTACCTTCGAACGTTGGACTTTATCAGCAAGTACCAAAGGCAACCTCGAAGATGAAATCTGCAATGTCATGTTTATTGTAACCAACTGAGGAAGTAATCATACCACAATCATGAGACAACTTGAAATTTTAATTACATAAGGCCCGGTTTGCTTCTCAGTTGTTTCTCTTTCTAAAACCTTTATGTTGCCATCATTCTCTGTAGCAATGTAAACAATAAGTAGCTTAAGAACCCAACTCAACTCAACAAGCTCATGACCCAAGTACTTGGGGACAGTTTAGAATAAAGTAGATTTTCAGACAGACAGACGAAATTACACTCTCATTTTTAATCTTGAGCTCACTACAGAATTGAACAAGTAGCCATAGGAACAGAGTTAGTTAATCTCAATCTGTACCTTGTTTTGTCAGACTCGTCCCTTTTGTATCCGTAGGTACCATATCTTCCAACCTTAGCCTCTTCTTAGGAGATTTCACTGTTGAAACTCCTTTAAGTGAAGATTCCTCAACATTGTCTAAAACATCATCATCCTTATCCTCCTCTTTTGGATGTTGACCTGTTTCCGGCTCAGACAACTCGTGCTCGGAATCAGATGACAATGTCCAAACTGAACTTTTAGATTCCTGATCATATAATTAACATAGAATTAGAACATACTAATAACTACAGGAAGTTGATTTAGACTGATAAAAAAACTCCCTGAAAATTTAACTTCATGGTAGGCAGTAAAATTCACATAAATTAAAAAGAAGGTGAAAGTCATGAAAGTCCTGAACTAAAGATGGCAAATGTCATCACAAAAAGTGGTGCAACAACTAGCTTTTTGAAGTATGCAATTTTAGTGTAGTAGTAGGCTATCATTAACGGATGCTATAAGAAAGTTAAAACTCCTCTTCTGAAGGGAAAAATTTACAGGGTAGCCCATCAAATCAGCTTTATTGTATGGGTCGGAATGTTGGTTGACAAGGAAGGAACATGGGAGGAAGTTGGAAGTTGCAGAAATGAGGACGCTTAGGTGGACCAATGCGGTGGTTTGGTCACATTTGTAGGAGACAGATGGCGTCTGCAGTGAGGAGAGTAGAAAGCGTGACAGGCGAGGGGGTGAGGAGTAGGCCGAGGAGGACATGGGATGAGCAGTTGAGGTTAGACGTGGCGGCTTTAGATATTTCTGAGGACATGAGCTCTTATAGGAGTTATTGGAGATACAAGACTAGGGTAGCAGACTAAGGGTGAGCCTCTATAGCTAATTTAGTTGAAAGAAAGGGATCTGGAGAGGTAGATGACAAGGGTCGGGTTAGTGAGCCGGCCAATAGGCCACCGGAGCCTTAGGTTAGACGAGGAGTGTCTAGGTGTTCGTACCTTTGCTATGTTTTCCTATACCTGCTCTATATGTATGTTTCACTGTTGTGCGTACTTCTAACCAGTTCTCCATATTTTAGCACTACGTCTCTTGATTTCAAGTGCTTCTTTATCGTATGTTCTTCTTTTCTTCCCTTTTTTTCTCACACACTTTGCACAAGCTCGGAATCTTCACCAAAAACAGTCCCTCGACTCTTTTGGGTAGAGGTAAAGTCTATGTACATCCTAACCCCCCAAACCCAACCTCCGGCCGGTATACACCGGGTTGGTTTGGTGGTTAGTTACAAGTCTTCTTCTTAGGTAAACCTTTACTCACCCCTCAAAGGGAGGAGGCAAGGTGGCCATTTAATCTTGAGGTACTACAACCTGGCTGCCTATCTAAGCAAATGTTCATGATGCATGTATGCAGTATTAACACAGAAACTAAAACATCCACCTTTAAGATAAATCACCAGTAAGAAAAAATAAATAGATAACTGAATAATGGTCGTCCATAGATTCTCACTTGAGGTTTGGTAGCTTTCTCTGGAGCTTTTCCCACTGCAAATCTTGTATTTCTCTTGCTAGCTACAGCATGACAAGAATACGTAACATGATGAACATCAGAACATGAATCACGTTCCATAATTCAATAAGAACAGAATGTAAAATATGTCATATCAGATGATAGCAACACTCACCTTCATTTTCACTAAGGCTGTTCCTCTTTGTATTGAGCTTTTTATTTGGAGACTTGACTTGTGATGTTTTCTTAATGACGGAGCTTATAGGTAATTGATCATCTTTCTCGTCCTCACTTACACCAGGAATAGATTCAGAACTGGAGGACAATGTCAAAATTGATGTTGTCGGTGGTGCCTGTCAGACATATACAGACACTATTATCAAATTGGCGATTTCCAAAATCCAACATACCAGCATTTAGTGATTCAATTAACGGGCAGGCAGTAGCTAATACACCATCTTAGAGTAATAGACGTACAATCAGAAACAACAACTAAACTATCAGTTATATAAGGAAAATGTAAGGAGATCATCACAAACATGAAACCATCATGGGATCGATAATACACGATTTTGCAGTAAAAGAGAAGAAATAAGGATAATAGGAATATAAACCTGGAGATTACGAAGCCAATCTGGAGAGTATTCTCTAGAGGAGCTGCTCATCTTTGTTGTTACTAACCGACTGTGGCTAAACCCTAAACGGTCGAGGGAACAAAAAGGATTGATTATTTTTTAAAACAACAGAGCAATACAAACTTATTTTTAATCGAATGGGAAATTGTTATTTTTTAATTAAATAATCGTTATCAATTTGTGCTATTAATTAATGCCAAACCAATCAAATTTATTTTATTGGTGATAATAATAAAAAAAAATCTTTTACATATAAACAAAAAAAAATCTTGCGAATCTTAGAATACCAGGTTCTATTTTAATTAATTTAAGATATTAATTATTAAATATAAATAATGCAATTAGATCTTGACCATACATTGATAAAATTCCATAGCTAGAAAGTTTTAGTCTGATGATTTCGTTTAAAAAATAAATCATCTCTATACCAAATAGATTACATCTATGCATATAATAAATAAGTAATTTGAGTAATACGTGTCATCTTTGGGTATAATTTCATTTATAAATTTAAGAGTACAACGAAGAGTCATTCTAAATTTATTACTAAGTTTAAATTCATTTTATTGATATAGTTTTATTTATAAATTTAACTTCATTTTAACTAATTATTGATATAGTTTCATTTCTAAATTCAAGTCTGAATAGTCAATTTTCAGAATTATACTTCAGAATTATTTCAAGAGTACAAGTTTAAAGTAGCACCGTACTTTCGATGATCATTCATATATGTACCTAACATGATTTAATTTTTCCAAATTACCTCGTGTAATACACGATATCGAACCTAGTATGTATATATATAATTATATACAGGTGACATATAAATATCCGTCAATTAAAACCATGCTAATTACTCTTTTACTTGTACAAAATAGCAAAAAAATTAAAAAAAAATGTTTTTTTATTAAATTTAAACAATTGTAATTGTGTGATCGATATAAAAGACTATACTTTCTTTGAATTAAACAAAAAGCTAAGCTGGGTCTGAACATGGGTTGGGTGGGGTTGTACCGTACGTCACTCGATGTTATTGGTACCAACGGGCAAAGTCAAAAGAATCCTTCTTCCTTATAATCAATCAATCGATCGATCGATCGATCGACACCAAAGTCTATCATCACTTCCACTCTGCCTTGTACGCAATCTCCATGGTATTGGTACCTTCTCATCTTTTGCTTTTTTCCAATATTCCTTTTCTCATCAACTTCCAATTGTGCTTTCACTTTCCCTTTAGATCCCTAGAACAATTATATAAACTCACCCTTGATCCCTTCTAAATTTTCAATCACTTGCCTGTTCTGTTTACATGAACCCAATCCCTTTTTTGCACATTTTCATTTTCAGGTATTGATTTTTTTCGTAATTAGGACTTCGAATAGACTTGATTTCTTGAAATTTGGCTGCTAATGCTAATGCTAATGCTAATGCTAATGCTTGTGTGAAGTAGTCTGTTGTTTGCTGTGAGGAATGAAGATAGGGTTTTAGTGTAGTTTTTTCACTTTACAGGATCATGGACTTGCAATCTAATAATCCTAATGACCATGGAAGAAACGAACAAATAGTCTCTCAGTTTCTGTTGAAAAGTTTGCATATTGTGTTGGATTCTAGGATTCCTTCCATTCGGCCTAGTGGTGGTCGTAGAGGCAACTTATCCTTGGGAAGTCAGGTGAAAAAGAGTGATAAATGGTTCAATCTAGCATTAGGTGAGCGTCCCACTGCTTTAGACAGTCTCAACTTTTGGCACAGGAATTTAATGGAACCCATGATAATTGACATTATACTAGTTCAAGAGATGCCTGCTACTGCTGCTTTGGGCCGAAATGAATGTACAACATCTGGATATGGGTTATTGGTTGAGACACTTGTTGAGAGGTGGGTTGTTCAATACGAGTCTGCAAGGACATCTCATCAACTCACTGAATCTTCTGTGCCTTATAAGAAGACATATAAGAAGTCTATTATTCTCTTACGGTCTCTATATACCATGATGAGGCTCCTTCCAGCATACAGGGCTTACCGAAAGCTATCTATATCAACCAAGGCTTGTGATTTTGATATAAATTACAAGGTGTCTTCTTTTAGTGCCCCGTTTACAAGGACGGAGGAACAAGCAATGAAACAGTATAGTTTCTTTCCTGTTGAAGCCCAGAATGGACGCCTTTCCATATCTGTGAAATATCGTGAAAGTCTGGCTGATTTTAACTTAGAAACTTCAACATCATTTCCACCTGAGATCATTACAGATTATGTTGGCAGCCCTGCCACTGATCCATTTAGGGCTTTCCCCATGATGGATAAAGGTGTGCATGCTACATCTTTTCCTGCCAGAGAAATGCAATCACCTACTTCAGCACCACCTCAACGCCCACATAGCTGGACTAGTGGCCTAAGCAGGGGAGCTCCATTTACGCATAATCAATCCTTTGGTTCTCCACCTGCACATCGCTCGTCCACTGGGCGTTATGATATATCTTCTTCGCCTACAGATGTTTATGGTCAAAGGACTCAAAATTATAGACCACCAACTCACCATAGAGGGACCAGCTTCGATGATTATCAACTGTCACCACCATTCTCTCCATCTCCTTCACCATCTCCACCAACATACATTTCCGGTGGGAATTACATGCAATCTCGGCTACGCTCAGAGACTGCCCCCGTGAGTATCCCTAATCCCATGATCATCAGAAGTCCCAGATACCTTTCTCCTAATTTATCTGACCCTAATCGACATTCTCTTCCGCCCCCATCACCTAGAAGCACACGCTATGAGTTGTCATCTCATGAGTCTCCCTCAGGAATCAGGTCCCTTAAAAAGTCAGAGATGTCAAAGGTTGGGGACTTGAGTTCTGGTTCCGGGTCAGCAAATCAATATTCTAGTCACAAGGTAATTTTGTCCTATCCTTTTGACTTTTTTCTGCAACTGCATCTGAGATTCATTCTGGTTTATTCGGTAGGTATCAAGGGATAACAAAGATGATTCAGGGAGGTTTTCAGGTTTACTATCATCAAGTGGTTCACCTCGTATTGGATTCTCTAGAAGCTCCAGTAGATTGTCTCTCCAGGATGAGTTAGATGACATTGACTTCTCATGTCCATTTATCGTGGATGATGTTGATACTTGTGAGTCCCCTGTCAGGTAATTATTTTACCACACTTTTTAGTTTAATGAACTGAAAATTAGGCCAAATGCACTTATGAATTATGAATCCAATGTTATAAGGCTGTGCAACTTTTTTTAACTGTATGGTTTGCATTTGTTAGTATAAATTGAATAAATTTGGGACTTATATTAATGAATGAGGTAACCATTTTCCTTTTCTCAAATCCTCATACATCTTTTATCATGGAAGCATCATTGATCATGGGTTTAGTACTTCATAAGACATTTCAGTCTAGACCTTCTAGGTGCTGTTTGTTTTTAAGAGGTGTTGAAGTCTGAAATTTTATTTCACATCTGATTGATAAGAGGTGGTGTTGAAGTCTGAAAACAGAACAAACAAAACTATTTGTTTTTGTAAACTGATAAATGTCTGAACGTGTGTAATCATCTATTTTACCCCCACATATATTATAATGAAGAATTTATATAAAAAGAATTCCAATTTTACTCATAAATATGTACAATAATTCTCAATAAATCTTTTGTAACTATAACATTCATTTTCACACAATAAAATTTTTCAACATTACCCATCTATTTCAACCTCTTCCCAAAATTTATTACATCTAAACTATAAAGTACATCGCCCATTTTTAACTCACTCAAATCCTATTAAAGTACATCAACAAAACTCCAATTCCGATCTTTAGCCTCATCATTGCGCGTCATCCCTTTAGGCATTCAAGTAGTATAATCCTTTTGCCAGCACTACAATTCCATCTCCTGGAGTCCTGGTTATAGTGGTCCTGTATATTACACAACCATTCTTATCAAATACAAGTGCATCAATGTCTTTCTCGATCATTATCAAGAAATCTTCCGTAACTATAAAACTCATTTTCAAACAACAAATTTTTCAACATTACCCATCTATTTCAACCTCTTCCCAAATTTTTTTACATCTAAGTTATAAAGTACATCGCCCATTTTTTACTCATTCAAATCCTGTTGTACATCAACAAAACTCCAGTTCCCATCTTCAGCCTCATCATCGCTCGTCATTCCCTTGGTCATTGAAGTAGTATAATCCGTTTGCCAACATCCAATTCCATCTCCTGGTTATTGTGGTCCTGTATATCACACAACCATTCTTATCAAATAAAACTGCATCAATGTTTTTCTTTGATCATTGAATGGTTATCCAAAGGGTAAAGTTACCATCATATGTGCAGTAATATCATGCAAATTATACATCAATTTATCATATATACAAATGTGTTCTACTTTGACTTGTTCATCTTCAAGTTTGATCATTCTTTTTCGGTTTCTGGGTTTCTTTTAAAGGTTTCTGGGACCATGGATGGATGGTATTCTAGTTCCTAAGCTTTGATTTCTCTGTCTCATTATACACTTTCTGAAGTCATTTGTTTATTCCCATACAACATAAGAAAACAAAACAAGGTAATACACATTAAGAATTACATTTATCCACATGTAAATCCACATGCTTCTGCAATACTTATGTTCCTTCTGATTCTATTTTACAGGGTGTAATGTCTTGGATTAATGAAATTGATTCAACAATACCTTCGGTGATTTTCTTAATCTTAAAATGGTGTGAAACACATTTTATCAATGAGAGTTGCTATATGCTTAATGGTTCTACAATTGAATTCCTGGAATCTTTCATTAGCCCTCAGAATAGAATTGAACCTATCAGTCCCTCTGAATCCGAACTAGCAGCATTCTAGAAAGTTACTCAAAAATTGAAATTGAAAAATAGCAGTGAAATGAAGAAATAGATTCAAAAGAGCAGCATTCTAGAGGTACACAGACAGCTAAAAGCGGTGAAATGGAGAAAAAGATTCAAAATTGCCTGTTTAAGCGTATAAGGTTACTCAAAAAGCATACTTTATTGCATAAGGAAATTAGGGTTCGCTATATAGAAAAAAAATATACTAAAAAGCATACCTTAAACAATTGCTTTTGTTGTGAAATCGAAGTAAAAAACCAGGAGACACAGACCGATAAGTGTTTACATTGAGACGTTGAGAGAGGGCAGAGGCATGAGAGAGAGATAAGGATAGATTAGGTTAAGCGATTGAGGGTCGAGGCAGTGGAGCGGGAGGGGAGCAACTGAGAGAGGATTGATTATGTTAAAGGTGGGGTAAGAGGACGGTAAGAAGTGAGTTAACCTCTTGTTCAATAAGAGGACAGTAAGAGGTTTTTACCTCTTATTACAAAATAAGAACAAACAGTCTTATTAGTCCAACATCTTAACCGGTAAGACATAAGTGGTGATTAAGATGCTTTTTTTTTCAAAAAACAAAAAACACCTTGGTCTTGTTTGGTGGCCTGTTGTGATGCTCATTGAATTTGGTATTTTGAACTTGATTTATCCATGTATCAAAGATCATGAGCATGCCATGCTCTATATTCCCACCTTAGACATTAGAAAATATTCTGAAGGTTTTATCTCTAATACTTCCCTAAGTCATAACTGAACTGAACATGGAAAAGAAAAACATAGGTTACAGAATCTAACTTCTACAGACTTTGCTCATGATGATGGTTGATTGAGTTCTTATAGAAGGGCCATGGAACCGCAAAAAAACTGAGAATGTGAATCATCCTAGTAGGAAATGTGTAAATCATTGAAAAGCAATTTAGCCTAAATAATACTATATGCCAAGTGGATTTTGACATATTGGCACCATGTCGCATATATATTACCCAACTAACCTTGTGGTGAGGGTCTCTAGTATCAGATGCAGCTGTGTTTAGTTAGCCGGCCAGGGAATAAATGATTAAACCATTTGTCGTCATTTTCATCAAACAAGCCAGACCTTTTCAATCGAAGCAGTTTTTCTGTCTTGGTCCCAATTCAACACTAAACAAGTCCGAACTAATTGAATTCTTGTGAGTTGTGTCCTAAATTTCAAGAACCGGGTCGTAACAAAGGATGTAATTGACAACTCGAAGCTGTAGATTATGATTTTCTGGCAAGAGATCTGGTGGGAAAAAAGTCTTTATACGTGGGACTGTTGGTTGAACCAAAAAAGTAAAAGATTGTACTGACTGAACCTGACACCAAGCTTAATTTTGTGCTTCATATAGGACCTTATTCTAAACATTTTTTTTGCATGATGTGGTGTTTGACAGTCGGAGTGTTGGTGGGAAACAAGGAAGGGAGTTGTCTTCACATGCTAAAAAGTCACAAGATGCTGCAGTGGGGGCACTTGTTCGTATGCTGAGAACAGCACCACCCCTTCGACAAGATTCTAGTTGTTATTCGTTGAGCGATGGTCTTGAGGGGGAATTCAACACTGCTTCTGGATTTTTTATCGCCCGAAAGACTTCAGATGCTTTGGAGGAGCTCAAGGCTTACAGAGACATGAAAGACCTTATTCTCTCGAAAAGTGGAACTCGGTTGGTTAGCAAACAAGAGCTGTAGTACATTGATGCTGTAAAGAGAATCTAATAAATAGATGGTGGATATACGAGAGGGGTAGATGACGAATGAAACTGTGGTTCCATTTATATTCTGTTGTAATGATTCTGTAAAATCTGATGTTTGATATTATTGGGATTATTATTATTCCATGATTGATGTAACCAGTTTTACTTCAATTTAACACAACTCATCCGATTTCATTCGCATGTTAGCATTGACTTTCACATCTTAACTTTGATGCCCATGCAATGATTAAAATGCTAATCACAAAATTTAATAATTAATAGCAGCCACTTGGTGGTTATTTTCGACCACTGTCATTTCTTACTCATTTAATTTTGAATGAATTAAGGCTTATTTCTGATGAAAGGGTTTTGCAAAAAAAAGAAAAGAAACAAAAATTGATATAAGATAACTAATTATTATTATTTTGGGTTAAACCGGGTGTGTTGGGCTTGGAAAAGGACTCGGCCCTCCAAACTCCAACTCCAATTCCAATTCCAATTCCATCTTATGGTTTTGCCTGCCAATTACAATTTTCAAATGAAATGAGCTGCTGGTCGTCTTGCCCTTTCTGCTCCCAGCAAGTTCTTTCCGTACAACTTGAAAGGTATTCATCAGTTGTTGTTGTTGAAATGATTGGATTGGGGCTTATATTGGTCTCGTTTACTGCAGGCACGCCAATAATCATTTTGAGGATCAGGATCAAAATGAAGATATCGCCTTCGACTTCCGTTCCCCTCGGAATATTACGGTTTTTCTCATATTTGCCCCTCTCTCTCTCTCTCTCTCTCTCTCTCTCTCTCTATATATATATATATATATATATATATATATTATTGTTGTTGTTGTTGTTGTTTGATTATTTGCGAATAAAAACCAAATCAAATAGATTGTTTCCGAATATCAACATAACGGGATCAAAAATCCCTCTTCCTTTGCATCACTATATATTCAATTACCATTTTCTCATCAAATTTCGAAAATGACTTGCTGATTATTAAAAAGATTATCTTTATTTTTACACTGTCAGGTTGACAATCCCATACAATCAGAATCTGATTTTCTAACAAGGTCTGAGGCCACAACGTCTAACCAAAATACCCACTCTTCAGTCAGTTTACAGGATACCAACCTTGGTTTTATCTCCTTGTTGAAGAACTCTTTGGAGTGTGATGCTGCCAGTGGTAAATCCACTAGTATATTGTCGGGCTATGTTGATCATTTCCAGACCTTAGAGTTTGAAGATGTTGGGTGGGGCTGTGGCTGGCGTAACATCCAAATGCTTTCTTCTCATTTGCTTGTGCAACGCCAAGAAGCAAGGGAGGTTCTATTTGGTGGAGCTGGATTTGTGCCTGATATCCCTTTGCTCCAAACATGGCTTGAAACAGCATGGGAGAAGGGCTTTGATGTAGCAGGGTCAAATGATTTTGATCGCAAGATATATGGGAAACCAAGTTGGATTGGTACCACTGAGTGTGCTGCACTTTTCCGTTCTTTTGGGCTTCGTGCCCGGATTGTAGATTTCTCTAGTTCAACCCGTGATTATGGATCAAGTGTTGCCAAGAGGAAGAAACCAACCCAAGTAATTGGACCGATGGATAAATTTCTGAATAAACCGGCTGCTGATGCAGGTTCCAGTAATAACAACAGGGACGAATGTATGGTTAAGGGTCATCAGCTTCTTGCCAATTGGGTGTGGTCTTACTTCTCTGACAATATGCTCGGCAAATCAAGCTGCAACCAAGTTGTTGTCACTGAGAAAGCGTAAGTTGGATTGGTATCACTGTTAATTGAAACAAGTCACATGTCATTATTATGTTTTGATCGTTTGGGAACTTGTTGAACAGGCCCTTGTATTTCCAACACGATGGACATTCAAGAACTATAGTTGGAATTCAATTGAAAAGTCTTCCAAATGGGATGCACCAATACAACCTACTAATTTTAGATCCTGCTCATGTAAGTACATTTAGCCTCTTTTCCCTTTTTAATTAAGGGATCGCCGTAGGGTGATTTGGTACAAAAAGAACATATTGCCTGGATGCTATAAATGAAACATGAACAGATGGAAATGCATCCTGAGGCTTAGTGTTATAGTTTGTTTACAATTGAGTAATAGTAGGATATATTTTGTAAATGCTACCAGAAAACACAAGTTCTAAAAAATTGTCTGAGCAAGAAAGTTGGATGGCAAAGGTTTATAAAGAGAGGGGTTCACACTCTGAAGAAGCCGGACTACCAGGTTAAATATATGTATCTGCATTATATTGCTTTCTTTAGTAGGAGTGACCCAACTAAGTAATAAGCTAACAGGGTTGTTTTGTTTCAGTTGTGTTATATGGATCCTGGGATTGCCACTGGAGCAGAGATGGAGAAGCTTAAGATCTTGGATAGTACCCGTTTTGAATTTTAAGCATATATAAGGAGCATGTATAAGGAGCATTATAAGGCATTTGCATGCAGGGTTTTCTTGTAAAGTGGATTGATTTGATTTGATTTGATTTGATTTGAATTATAAGGAGCATGTATAAGGCATTTGCAGTCGTCCCAATCAATCACATGAATATACCTTATGCTTTCGGTGTGAAATTCTGAAAGTAGTACCGGTTATAATTGAAAAGCATATGTTATTTGGCTTTGTATTAAGAAACATTCAACAACCTTAACAAAATTCTCTCTGCAACACATGATTAAGATATTGTAAATCAAAATAGCAGGGTTAGGAATTGTTATTGGCCTCCACCACTGGTTTGATAATGAAAAGGGCCCCAGTGTTATAGTAATAGTATCCATTCTATGACCAGAAAGAAATCAAACTTGATATATTTTATTTTATATTCTGTGTTCTAACGATCTGGAATTTCTGATCCACGATCACTGTTTGTATATTGAAAAAAATGGATGGAATGGAAAAGCAAGAGCCAAGAGCTGAAAGCTGAAAGCAAAGCTAAGGTAGTAGGTTAAAGGAGATAAAAGTTTCAATTTGAGCCCTTGCTTTTTGATATAATATACGCTTTGGTCACCAATGTTTCTTAATTTTCACGACTCCACTTATTTGTTGTTAGGTTAGGTCAAGTCTCACTTTTTCCTCTTAAGTTTAAAAAGCAAGCATTGTCTTGTTCCTTTTTGATTCAGAGTGAGATCGGGTGATATGCATACAAAAAGCATACTAGTCTGTGCGGTAGTCGGATTTCTAGGGCTCCTATCTGCTCTTTTGGCTTTTGTTGCAGAGGCCAAGAGGATCAAGGTACTTACTTCTCTTTCACTATTTCCTTCTTCTTTGTAGCTAGATATGTAATCGTTTTTATTCCATGTTTTCTTACACTCGTGACTTTTGCATTCAATCTTATTGCAGGGATCCCAGGTTACGTTTTCATCTCCATCGGAATGTGTGTACCCCCGTAGTCCAGCTCTAGCACTTGGATTAACTGCTGCGGTATCCCTTATGATTGCCCAAGTCATTATCAATGTTGCAACTGGTTGCATCTGTTGCACAAGAGCAGGACCTCATCAATCAACCTCTAATTGGACAATCGCTCTTGTCTGCTTTGTTGTTTCCTGGTAAGTTGTGATCGGAATTTTATGTTAAAGAGTAGAGTCAGAATCTAATTGAATAGCTAATATATTTGCACCACGACATGGAAAAGGTAAGGTGTATGTTTCTTATTACTTATCATTAGCAACCTGATCAAGTTTATGCCTTTTGTATTAACAAAAAGAAAATTCAATATTCATCAGAATCAAAAGCCATCACTTTTCCATGTTATGTGAAAATATTATTACTTATTACTGAGGCCTCTTGATGTCACATGCAGGTTCACATTTGTTATAGCATTCCTTCTGTTGTTAACAGGGGCAGCACTAAATGATCAGCATGGAGAAGAAAACATGTACTTTGGGAGCTACTACTGCTATGTTGTTAAGCCTGGAGTCTTTGCTGGAGCTGCAGGCTTGTCCCTTGCAAGTGTTATCCTGGGCATCGTCTATTATCTGAGCTTGACTTCAACAAAGGTTAACAGAAATGAAACCATTTGGCATGCACCTGCTCAAACAGGCATTGTTATGGGTCAGCCTCAGCAGCCCTCCCAAGATCCTGTTTTTGTGCATGAAGATACCTACGCTAGACGGCAGTTCTCTTAAAATCCCTTGTTTTGCAGTATTGGGTCGTCTTAAGATGCTACGCTCTAGAGCGATATTACTACCCGGGCACTTGCATCAAAACCTGTATACCATGAACTTGGTTTAAGAAAACTGTGTTTCAGTAAAGATCTTTAGCAATGTCATAGCCTCTAACTACTCCCTCTTAGTGGAGGAGTTTGATCATCTTTGTGTAATGGGCACCTCACAAGGTAGCCTAAGCCACGAGGTTCTCGTTGTTAAAATTCTCTCATGGGCTGTGCTAGAAAGACTCTCCCATCTATTATTACTGATTTTGGTTACTATGGATAAGTCTAAACTGGACTGTACATTGGTTTGGTTTCTTCTAGATCTGGGTCAATGGCTTGTTTAACCTTCTACTGAACCCAGGTTTTCTTCAACATTTGAGGTCCCCTTTTGTTCATTATCATATTACTTGCATCTAGGACACAAGGAACATAGCCCATCATTCTATAGAAATGCCGTTTGAGGGTGTATGCAAATCCACAGTATTTCTTCCAAAAAAACGTCCCTCTGAATATCCAAAAAGTATGTAGAAGTGAATCAGTAATTGTCGTTCAAGTGAGCAAATGGCTCTGGTGCAGCTTTAGCTACCACTTCTGGGGTCCCCAAAAAATTCCAAAATCTCAATGCTTTCCTGCCCTTTGCTCAATGGTGCATTCATCTGGGCTCTTACACAAACAACAAAATAACTACAAGAGAGAAATGAAATGAGATGAAATAAAATGTGTATTTACCTGTGCCATGAATAGGATTCTGCAAGTAAGTCCTGTCATCTTAACTACTGATGGATGTTTCTCTAGATGAGATTGCTTTTGAGGAAACAATGAAAGCTTAACAGCTCATGATCGTTTCTATTCCACGAAAAAGGAAAGGCCTGTGATCTTGGGTTCACTGTTCACCAAAGCTTATACACATATTGCCTCCACCACCTCTGGCGGCAAGTAAATTACCTCCATGAGCTTTCACAGCAACTGTAGAGGATGCCATATGTGGAGGATGTATCGTTTTCTCCAATGGCTAACTGCTGACTGAAGCACAACCTTTCAGCCCCTCTTGCTAACTGCTGACCTCTTGCTGATGGCCCCTGTAGGTTTTACAATGCTTGGGCATCATAGGTTATGATCTGACCATTCCATACCTTAAGTGGTCAGTATGTAGTTCCAATCTAGTCATCCAACTCGAGAATGATATCTTGGCTGTTCTACAGGATCAGACCCTTGCCAAACAATTGTGATTCCAAAAGCTCATTTTTTCCTAGATCAATACAAGAAGTTGCTGCTTACCCAATCTAACAAGGTTTGGAGCATCCATTGTCCTCTCAGTCTGTACAATCCCACCAAGCCAAATATTTAAACATAGGAACCAAATGAAATCTTGAATCAAGTGAAAAGTGACACATGAGAAATGCATCTACAAGCCAGAGTGCTGAGTCGAAGTAGAGCAATTGTTGGGAGTTCCATCTTGTTCCTGAAAGCTACAATCCTGCTTTTCTCCATGTTAAAGCTCTACCAAATGCTTCATATAAGCTTCTCTAGATGAGTGAACACCCTGCTAGATTCTCATTTACCTTTTTCACATAAGTCGCCATGTAATGGGCACAATCAAAATTCATTGTTGATCTATTTAGTGGAATATATCCAATTGTTCACGATTAACCCAACATTCCATTTTCGGTCCTGATTTAAGAACACTAGATTCAAATAACCACAAAAACCGAAAGAGGACATGGTGATTGTTTCTTGGTTGATGTGGAATTTACATAACCACCATCCATAAACCATAATGATGGCATATATGTGTGTGTGTAGAAATAAACACAAACCTGGATAAACGTATTAGATAGGAAAAGCTAGAAAATAGAAATCAGATCAATGAGATGGCAAACTAAGAAACAACAACGGATCAAGAAAGTAAAGGAACGCAATAGAGAAGTTGATTTTCTTAGAAAGGGTCCTACAAAAAAATAAGGTTACATTACAAACAGAACTCAGATTGATGTAAAAGTTTTTCAGAAAATTCTGTGGTAGGATTAGCTGTACTGGCATTTTCTTCACAAAAATCAAAAGTTTTTCAGAAAGTTCATTACAAGACATCACACTTAATTTCTGAAGGATGCCATCCAGGCATGTAAAAGTGAAGCCAGCCATGGTAGCCTATTATTAAGTTAAAGTTTTTCAGCTGCATCTTACTGTACTATGGGAGGGGCCAAGGTAGGATGTTTCGCCAACACTTCCTCCGTACCTCCTTTAGATAGATCCCTCACGACGGCTTTAAATGACCACAAACAAGCCCTAAGTTCTTAATTTACTCTTAATTTCTGAAAATCCTTGTCATTGAAACATATGCCTCTTATTCTGGCATGAGGCATTCCCTCCTCTTAGGGGACAGAAAACCTTTACTACAGGCCTCTCTGGCATAAGAGAGAGAGAGAGTTGGGCAACGCTACTATTGGAAAGAGAAGCATCAGGGTATAGACATGAGTTCCAGTTCGGGAGGCATGAGTCATGAGATGAGAAGCAGATAGCTTGTCAGCGCCCAGTATCTTACCCGGCCACCACGATCCATTCCGCCTCCAAACTCAAACGATGGTTTTAACACCGCAATTACCCATGCCTATTTCTGCGTCCGAGCTCACCATCTCTTTCTCCCCTGTACCAAAAAATTCTAAACTGTGTTTTTTGACAGAATGTCTATATACACTGGGTTTTCTACTTCGTTGAAGTGATTGTAAAGACAAACCTAAGAGCTCAATCACGTCCAAAGCCAACTTAAAGCGAAGGGGACTAAGAAGGTTGATATGGATAAAGGATCCAAAGACGGCCACATTTGGAGGATCCAGCAACGGTGATCTGTTCTAGGGTTGGTTTCCATCCAAATGAGGGGAAATTTCGTATCCAGGGATCAACTTCGAATCGGTTTGGGATGATCGCTCCCAAATACACCTTAACAGTAACAGACTTAACGAACAGAGGGCAAATCACAAAAAACATTTCATCTCTGTTACGAATCACCAACGGGATTTTGGTACCAACTACCAAGGATAAGATTAGATTAGATCGGTTGTTCTTACAACAATCTTAACATAGTTTCTTATCAAAATACCACTCATTTTTCATTATTATTTTTTAATCATATTATTTTTTAATAAATTTATAAAACAAAATTGATAATAATAAAAATTATAAATTAATTATTTTGAAATAATTTTTTAATTTTTTTTTCTGTATTTTTTTATACAAGTTTTCACCTGAATAGTTCAATTTTTAATTATTTCATTATATTTAGATTATCTTCATATACTTGTATATATAATTAATTTATAAAGTTGAAAAATACTCTTTTATTTTTTTAGAAAAATACTAAATTGTTATATGTATGTTTAATTACCATATTAGTCATTTTTCACATTATGTTCCGAGTTGTTGAACATAATTGATCAAATCAAGATTACTAGTGATCCATATAACTATTTATTATTATTTACTATTACTTTTTGTAAAGATTAATATTTTTATGACTTTTGACTTTTTTTTTTAATTGTAGTATAAAATTATGTTTATGTTTTAGTTGTTTATCAAATATGTTAACAAATTAAAATGAATATAGAAAATTGAAAATTAATAAATTATATTTGATTTTTTTTAGTTTTCATAATATATATATATATATATATATATAGATAGATAGGATGGTTTATAAATGAGAACCATAAGTGAGTATGGAAAGAACCGAGAGGATTACCTGGTGAATGGGGGAGTAGATTATTTTTTAGTTAACATTTACCGGTTGAGATTCGCTTAACAATCTATTTGTTTGTCAAGAATGTTATTTGATAAAGTAAGTAAAAATGGTGGTTCTTGTTGGTAAGTGTCTATTCACTAATTGTTCACTAAACATTCATTATTTATTCTTCTATTTGCCAATTACTTTGGTTAGACAAGAAACTACATTATGTCCTCATTTTATCCCAACTTAAATGTTAACCGAGTTTTTCTTATATCATCTCCCGTCACACCGAATGTTCTACATTACATAAATAATGTTTATTTTATATCAAATTCAGTTTAGATTAAAAGGACTTCAAATTGTTTGAGAAACTATAAAATAAAAGAAAAAAAATCAATGAAGGGTACAAGTGACGTATATCACCACTTCTAATACATGGATCATGGATGTAGTTTTTTTTAATCTATTTTTAATTTTATTTTGTGAAGAGTAGAGACTGCAAGGATTGTGGATTTATTGAAGTTGTTCAGGATCTAAAAACCCTTGAGGATATTTTATTGGACAATATATTTTTTTAATATAGTAATATATGATGTATATGCTATAGTAATAGTCAACCCAACCATCTCCACTTTTTCTTGAAAATAAGATAACAAAATGGTAAAGAGAAAAGGTAGGTAGGTAGGTAGGAATGTCACATATACCACCATTCATAATCAAAATACAATGTACAAATCATAATCATCTACTCCTACAGTTCTACACTGCATATGATGGATATTCGATTTACACTTTTTCCCTTTCCAAAGCATATCATCTGCCAACCCACCACATTTTTAATGTTTCCTCTTTCTGCTGTGCTGCTGGTGGTGGTAGAAACAAGTAAAACAAAACAAACCTTACCACCACCTTTTTTTGGCAATGTCAATGGAAGCATATAATCATATTATTTATAACATACAATTTACATGTAGCTACTTCATCTTTATTGATGGCGGGCAACCAACTCCTCATGTAACCTACTGAACACTAATTTAACAGGAATACAAGCAACTGCTGTGGGCAATGACTCCGGCTTCATCACCCCTTCACCCTCACCTTTCAAATCCATACTCTGCTGCTGACTCCCACCTATTGATGATAGTGTTCTTATTTTCTGACTGCAAGAAGATGAACTGCTTCTCCTTTGTGGCTTTTTTGGGACCTTTCCCGCTCTTCCCTTGTGTGCACTCGCCTTTCCATCTTCTTCATCTACATAATCATGTCTCTCCTCTTCCTCCAATGTTGATAATCGCGGAACCCTACACTTGGCAGTCCTCCTCGCAGTCCTCCATGGTTGAAGAGTTGTGTCATAACCTAATGATTCCGTTCCAAACAACTCATCAGCTGCAGAAAGAATCAAATCAGATGAACCATCTTCTAGGGTTTCTATTGGGATAGGATGACCGACTATTGCCTTCTCATTCAGCTTGCTCATGAGGGAAATCATGGGGACATGTTCTCTCTGATAACCTGATTGCACTTCTACATCAACATCTATCAACATCGACTTCATCCTGCCACCAAATTGGCGGCTGACATATACAGAATCATGGTACTCACCTGACTGCTCCCAGTATCCTTTCAAACAAGGCTGATCATTCCTTGTTAACTCCTCCCAATTGATGATATCATGGCTGCAGTCCAAGTCTCTACGCCTATGTCCAATAGCTTGGTTTCTCAAATTTCTGTCAAATGAATCAGCACCATCAACACCATACATGTCCTCTCCCTTGAAGCTCACCCAGTGGCTAGAACTCATGGAGGCCTTTCTCTCGCTTACATTTGGGTACCTCTTCGTCAAACTGCGACTATTTCTTTTTCCTTTCAGTTGCCATTTGGAGACCGTCACACTGGTCTGTAGGGAATCACCACTGTCATCAGGAAGTCCTGAGTCATCACTCATGCTCTCATGTTCTCCTTGTGCTTCAGATCTTCCAAATGCTTTTGGTATAAATTCAATATGTTCAGCTTCATCTAAAGCACAAATGGAAAATAAAAAAAGTTGGACTTCTGCAGATAGACAACAAGCAATATGAACATCAAGCATAGTTGCAAGCAGCCACTGGGCCTCGGACATCTAAGTGTCAAAAACACATAAAGGAAGCTTTGCAGATAATTATACTATATAGAAACAGAAACACTATTCTACTATTAGTACAAACGAACCCTGAACATCAGACACATTCAAAACAACTGCTGTATTTAAACGATATTTTTGAAGTGGTATTAAAATAAAATAATTTTTTTGGCAACAAGAATAACATTCCTAATGAATCAAACATGCAGTAATGAAAACATATTCACTTGCATTACTTTGAATACAAACCTGTACTTGTAGTAAACACATACTTAAGAATAACTATATTTGGGTATTAATGTAAATACATGACTATCTATCAATATCAAATCTATTCCTAGTCGAATATCATATAAACAATGTTTTGAAAACCTTAAATAAATGGGTAATGATACACAAGCAATTCATTCCACCAAGTCATTAATAAGAAATATGAAAAGTAGAAGTTTTATTCTTAAACAAAACTATACACACAAACATAAAATGTAATATAAATGATGATAAAAAAGATAATTCGTCTGAGAATGTTAGTGCTGATGATATGCATGTTAAAGATAATGATGGTTTCCAAACCATTAAAAGCAAAAAATCTCATCATGCTAAAAAGGACACCCACTCCCCTTTGGAGAGTGGAAAGAACATAAATGATGCTAAAAATGTCCAAAGCGAAGGCTCCTCCTCGCAAGAATTACCGTCGCGTTCAAAAGAAACCCGCCCCCCCAAATAGCTCCCCCCCAGTCTCAAATCCCCCCAGATGGGTTTATCCTCTCCTTCTAGACCTACCTCTCCCCTAGGCCTCCCATCCTTAGCCACCTCCATCCTAAACCTTCAAACCTACCACTCCCCGCCCGGAAGCAAACCAAGGCTCCCTCTCCCTCTTCTAACCGCTTTTATGTTATTGTTGACCCGTCTTTTCCTAAAGACCCTGGGTCCTCGTCTTCCTCCCTCCCTGCCCCCTCTGCTCCTTCTGAGATCGAGGATAATCCCCTTGATTAGGATGACCTCCTTGGCGAGGAAGACATGATTGAGGTTGAATCGGACGATGGTGACACCGCACGATTTCTTACTCATGATCTCACTCCCTCCCTCCCAGGTTAATCCGAAGAACTCTCAGGAGTCTAAGTAGATGGAGTCCACCCCATCCTTTATTGTCCAATGACTTGTTTTGCCTCGTGTCTCTTCCGTGGTCATGCTCTTGTGATGTCCTTTCTGGTCTTGTGAGCTTCTTTGTTCTCCCGGTTTTCTAGGTTCGGTCTAGGGCGTGCCTGTTTTAGTCCCCTTTCCCTGTCTTTGTTGCTTTCCCCCTTTGTTTCCCGGGCTTGGCTCGTCTAGGTCTTTCCCTTGTGGTTGGTTTCTTTCTCTTCCCCTCCCCCCCGGTTCTTTTCCCTCCCTTCCCCTCGAGGTGCCTTGGTTCTAATCTAGTGGATGTGGTTCGCCCCCACCTGAGTGCATATTTTGTCTTGCGTTTTTGGTTTTTTTTTATCTTGATAGGAAAAAAAAAAGTAATATACTTCTTTGACATATAGAAGTTGCATTTTTCAATCTGAAATTTCTATGCAAAATCCAATTTAATGATTTTATGTTGCATCCAATTTAACTTCTAATGAGTCAGGTTCCAGTGGCTAATGGGGACCCATAAAAGTATGGATTCTCCCAGTATCTACTCAAGTTCGGAGGCAGATGGGTTATTGGCAGCTTGGCGCCAACAGGCAGCTAAAAATCAAGTGTTTCAATAATTACATATGCAAGGGGTTGGAGGGGCATTCTCGTTAATAGAGTTGGACGACAGCTCTATTGGAAAAAAATGCATCAGGGCATAGGCAGCTGAGTGAGAGTGGGGACCTGCTAGGGAATTAAGCATGAGTAAGCTTGTTCCCAGGATTACTCCAGCCACTTCTTATTCCTTTACTGACCTTGATTAAATCTCTATGTGGACTTCATTACTGGGGCACATAATCCCAAACGTCATCAGTCATCTGGGCCTTAAATGGTATTCAGCAGATCACCTAGCCTAATCACCCCCATTGTCACTCTCAAACCAAGCTCAGTGAGTTATTTTGGCAACATCTTCTTTTAATTTATTTTTTTGAAGTATATAATATTTATATACGGCAAATGCAACAAATAAACTCACACACCCTCCTCACCTATGGTGAGGTTTGAACCCCTGACCTCCTAKAAGGCCAAGGGCTACGATACCGCTAGGCCAAAGGCCCTTTCGTATCTTATTTTAAGTTAATGGGCACAAAATTACTTATGAAGTCACATATCATCCCAAAGATCATGGTTGCACACAAAAAGGCTCAGCCAATGCATGCAACAGTTTTTGAGAAGCATTCTACAACATTGACAAGAACAATGGCACTCTTGGTTCCTCAGGCATAATCCTCCATACAGCCATGGACATTTTCCTTTCTGAGGTTGTCACCCACATACATACACACTTGCACATGCTTGCAGCTGATCTTCCCGTAGCTGCCGTTCAAGCTGCATTTAGAACCAGCACACTAAACTAGAGATTTTCATATTCTGAAATTTTGAACGAGGATGATGAACTAGAATGAAGTTTTTTGCTGAATCTCAGCATCTTTTGGCTGGAAAATCTGTTAGCTGTAGCTTTCTTTGTCGTGGTTATATCTGTTACATGTCCTTTTATGTCTTTTTAGCATACTGCTTCTCTAACATAAAAAAAAACTGTCCTGTAATTCCTCCGGAATTAATCAAACATGAAATAGAAAATGGAGGTCAAGATATGTCCTCAGGCCAAAAGAAAAGGCATGTAAATTAAATTTCAACCCAGCAAGCATGACCATGATCTTACATTGGTAAAGGAGAAAAACAATGACATCATCTAGAAGAAAAGAAAGCAGAAGCCAACCAGGAATATGATAAAATAGAACCTGAAAGTGCAGCCATTGCATCATATGTGTCTGATATCAGAGATTCAGTGCCAGAAGAATCAGTTTCAGTGTCTTCATTAGATCCAGTAGTGTTCTCTTCATTCAACCCAACAGGAAAGGAGTCATCTCTTTTTTCAGACTTGGGTGTCGAAATTTCCACATGGTCAGGAAGAATTTCTCTATAGTCAAAGCTGTCACCTGATTTTACTGTCATGCCTGGATCATTGCCTCCAATTGCAGGAGGGTCTACAGCTTCTCTCTGTTCCTCCCCTACAAGGGGAGTAGCAGAGCCACCATCATCCTGTAGCTGCAAGGGGTGAATGCGGGGTAACTTTGCACTACTCTGGAGTACCTGAACAAGAGGGCGGCGCCTATCACGCCTCTTACCAATTGATTCCTCCGTATTCCCCTCTTGTGACCTTTTCCTTTTCTCCAACAAACTTTTACTACCAACAGGAATTCTATTTTCTGGTGTAAGACCATGAAGGTCTGCACTAACCCCATCATCAACAACATGCTTATGGGAGCCATTTGAAGCAACCAAGGCAGAAAGTTTATATTTTGAAGGAATAGGACCAACACCAAGGTCTTGCAAGCCTCTCACCCTAGGACGTAGATCTGGGCTTTTATCATCTACATTCAGTTGACTACCACTGTCAACTCTCTGTGCCTGCAAAGGAAGTCCCTTTCTCTTGTCCTCAAGAGACAGATCCATTTTTGAGTTCACATGTTTACCATTGTCACATGAAAATTCTGGAGTTACGGTTGTGTCTTTTCCTACATTTCCTAGTAACTTGTTGCTCAAACCATTAGACTGCACACCTAATTTCCCATATTTCTTTTCCAGCAGTTGTTTCTCAAGTTCAAGAGCATGAAGGATAGCATCTTCCCTACGTGCATACTTCTCTCTCTTCTTTGGAGGCATTCCCTGTGAAGCTTCAGCCCTCTCGATGCAGTCATCAAACTCACCACAGCGAAAGGGTTTAACTCGCTTGGACTTCTCCAGGTTGTACCAATCCCTGTCCATTGTGAAATAGAGCTATTAGGTGCACAAAATACATCAACTGAACGAAAATAATATAATTTCACTCGTACATATTTTTAAGCTCGTCAATTCTTTCTTAAGCAATCAAGGCTGAAGGCCATAGATAACAAAAAAAGATCATATATAAGAATAACAAAAATCTAGTGACTGATAGCTTTGTACAGATGTTATCAAGCTTCATCATCTCTGGTTACAGAAAACAAAGTAAGTCCTTTTTCCTAGGAACTGTGATTGCAATCACCACATGACAATATGAAAGATGAGAGATCTAATAGCAGCAATGGGTTATGGGTGACAGCATCAACAGGTAAAAGAGCTTAGAAACTTAGAGTGACATTTATCATATATGAATGACAGTTGCAATGATCTTCATCTATGGCGTTAGGAGCTCCTGATCTGTGTTCAAGTTGATTTAACAAAAACTGACACTGGCTGTTGCTACCAAACACATCACTTCAAATGACGATCAACCTTTGGACGTTTGGGGGCTTGGTATGCCGATGGACAAAGTCAGAGAACACACAGTTCCTACAAAGTGACATCTAAAAGAGCAGAAGCTCACAAACAGCTTTGCAAGTATACTCAGTACGATCAACATTTTTTGTTATGTAATCTTCCTTTACCAACTTCTGCCACATAACAATGTACCAGACACCCAAGAGTGCAACACCTCCTAGCATTTAGCTAGCATAAAATTGAGAAATTATTTACATCCAGTTAATCAACCCATCAGATATAGAAAATGAATAAGGATTTCAAGATAACAATAGAAGCTACCATCAGAAAATGAGAAATAAGACACCGAGTCAATACTCATTGTTAGGATAAGCATCTGTCTTCTAAATGATATAATTCTTAGTTTCATTTATAGAAAGAGATATGATCTTCAAGAACAATATTAGATGGTGGAATCATATTTGAGTTTTTTCTCAGCAACTCAAGTTTTCTATTGATAGTGTGAAGCCATCACCTTATGTGAGATGAGTGAACTAGCTAGGTGATACCTGGTATTCAACAGGTTCAAATGTGGGAAATTTATACAAAACAAAGGATTTCTCGTGATTTAACCCAGATCATTCTTTTTAAATTGCCAAAAAAATGTTTCCTCCTTAACTAATCAGAACCACAACAGTTTCGTCTTTGTTGGCAGCAATCCAGCATATATAAAGAGAGCATAAAATGAAATGGGGATGTGAATGAATTAGAGGATTTACACACTGGCATCTTTAGAACCACAACAGTTTTGTCTTTGTTGGCAGCAATCCAGCATATATACATGAGATAAAGAAAGCATAAAATGAAATGGGGATGTGAATGAATTAGAGGACTTACACACTGGCATCTTCCCTCCCAAGAAGTTTGACTGGGGTTCCAGATCGGGGAGACATGAGATGAGAAGCAGAGAGCTCGTCAGGACCCAGTATCTTACCCGGCCACCACGACCCATTCCGCCTCCGAACCCAAACGATGGTCCCAACACCGCAATCAACCATACCTGTTTCTGCGTCAGAGCTCTCCATCTCTTCCTTGCCTTTACAAAAAAATACCGTCTTCCTTTTCTATACAGAATGTCTATATATAGTGTGGTTTTTCTACTTTGTCTAAACCTAAACCTGATTGGTCAGTGAGTCTAAGACCAACAAAAAAACGACGAGATTGAAGTTCAACCTCCAGAGAAGAAGAGAGAAAAGTGTTGAGACGGATAAAGGATCCAAAGACGGCCACATTTGGAGGATCCACGGATGGGGATATGTTTTAGGGTTAGGGCTTCCATTTAAATTAGGGGAAATTTCATATGTAGGGATATTGTTTCAAAACAAAATCCGTAGTCGATCAGCAAAAGCATGATTCTACTCCTGGTTCTGGTAGCTGTATGCGTCCTCTGTCTGTAATTTGGTATGTGTGGAGGGAGGAAGACTCGCCGGTGTTGACTCGCCGATTTAACAGAGAGAGAGAGAGAGAGAGAGAGAAATAGAGACTGTATGTATGTATGTATGTATGTATTCACCTTCACGCGGAGACAATAACACGACACGTTTTTTTCTTCTTAAAATCAGTTTTATTCATGATCTCGAACCACGACATCTAAATTATTTTCTTCTTTTTTCTCTCTCGTTTTTTGAACTTTGACATGATGAATCTGTGGATTTCTCATTCAAAATATTAATACAAAGAAAAATGATTAATATTTTCAGTTTTGCAAATTTTATTTCCTAATAATATTACTTGTATTATTTAATTCGTCATGAAATAAAATAGAATCAGCAAAATTAAACACAGAAGACTTCAAGTTGAAATAGAAATTGGTATGGAAAGATTCAAGTCCACAAGAATCAGCAAAATCAAATTCTCATTAAGTTTTTCAAACCCAAGCTGAATTTGTTATATTTTGAAAATATATATTTCTTGATAGAATCCATTTTATAAATATATGTAAATTTATAAAAATTAAACACCATTGGATGCAGGGTTATATGTAAGTGGAGTGGGTTTTAACGTAAAATCATAGCAACAACAGGTGAGTGAACATTAATAATACAAGGGTAAAACCTTTTTACACATATCTTCGTGAATAAGCCAATAAAAATTCAAATCAAGTTTGTTTCCATTGCAGCAAACTTGTGTTGTGGTTTATGTACATGGATAAAATGTTAGAAATTGTATTAAAAAAATCCTGATCCCTTAAAGATCTTAGTACACCCATTTACATAATATGTACACATATTCCCAAATCACAACATTTATCGAACTCTGACTTCAATAACATCCCCATCTTTAAGCTCCGTGTTAGGCAACACAACCTGGCCATTTACAGAAACCAGCTTGCCCTCGAGTCCGACCCTGGTGGCAGCATCTGCAGCCGTACTCCCACTTCTCAATCTAACTATCTCACCATCTGGCCAACACACGACTGCTATTTCCCCGAGAGGAACCACATTAGCGAGCTTTGGTTGTTGGAAACCTGCTTCAGATCGCAATTGTTCCTCCCATTGAAGCATTGTCCTCAGTAGGAGCACCTAAATTTATATAACATCTATTTTTTAAAACCTGAGCCAACACAAAATGATCCACAGCACAATTGTGAATTTTAGCAGAATCTGATGATGCAGAGCAACTTGATGTGTCATGACCCATTTCCAGCAATGAAAATATGATGCATGTATCAACATACCTTATTGTTGATGCCAGCTTCCATGGGGGTAGACCAACCAGAACTCAAAGCTGACCTCTCAGAGGAACTCGAGTTCAATGACACAGAATCAAGCTGTTTCCCCTCTGACACAGCAGACAATACATTCCAGTATTCAATTTCTTCTGATTCAGATAAATCAATTACTTGAATGAATGTCGGCAGTAGGCGCTGAAATTGATCTTGCTGCACAGCATGGACTGCTATTAAAATCCAAATATCTCATTAATGCATGGGTCAAAGTTAGTCATTGTCATATAACAACTTTCAGTATCATTTTGTAAGCAACATATGAATGAACAAGGCAAAGAATAACGATAAGAGAAGGATCACACAAGAAAAGACTTGAAAGAAATCACCCAGCAACACAGATCAGCAATGGATCACTGGTTCTCGATTCCAGTAACCCTAATATGTCCTTTGCTATGGTCTAGTAGCTACACAGCACCATGTTTACCTCCCAACTGTTCTAAATACAATCTATATGGTTGGGCACTCCCTTTCACTGCCATCTTAGATGATGTAACTATTCAAAACCATAATCAGAGATCTGTTTTGGCAAGGTCCAAAGTTCAGGACTGTAGATCTACAACCACCTTTGAATGAACAAGATGCAGAGCATACCATCTAATCACATAAATATTGGGCATTAGTATCAAAGTTTCCTTTTATTCATGTCGGTTGCATAAAACCAATTTACTGCTGCTACCTCTAAGTACAGCTCCAAAAACTCAACTATCTGTGCCACAAACAATAAGTTTACCAGATCACAGTAATCAAGACCTAACATTTCCCCTAAATTTGTAAATGAAGTCACCAACAAACAATAGGAGATCTTTTGTCATTCACTCTATGTGACTGCCCAAGATCGGGGGATCCAAGATAAGCTAAAACAATAGAGACGTTCTTATCTGACATCTATCCTCTTTTTTTCCTGAGAAAGAGAAGAATGCTAATCAAATAGCAAGAAAAGTTCAGGTGGAGGTTTACTTAGGGATGTTATTGATTTGGTCATTGTTGCTTATTCATGGTTGTGTGATCAAAGCAGATCCATTTTGCTGTAGCAAAAATTATTTGCTGGTGTACATATTGCCGAGGACACAAATCCAGAAGTGAACACTACGGAGTGTGATCCATGGATTGCTTAGATGGTCTTATGACATTCCCATGGATAGCGTGTACATAGCATGGCATATAGAAGCTTTAATGTCAGATATTTATTAGATACAACATATTTATAAAGAAAGCAATGAACATGCTGGCAGATCAGTTGTGTGGGATCATAGTCTTATGATGGTAGAGATGTTTTGCCATCCCTCATTCTTTGCCTAGGGGTATTTCAAAGTTTTGCAAGAGGATGTTCAGGTCTTGCCACTTCACGTTTTTGTTGTACAAAGGTTATTCTTGTATAATGGCTCCGGTTGCCACTTCGTCTTTTTACCTTTTCTGTAATGGAGCAAAACCATCTTGTCACTGGGTTTCTATTAATAACACCACCTATGTGCTAGATTGTTAAGGTGAGTGACTGAGCCATGGTGCATTTTAAGCATCGTTTTTGTCATTAAGAAACTATAGATTAGAAAAGGAAAATTATATGAAAACTTTAAAAGCTCGTGTTCATACACTTGCTCGGTGTCGCATTGTTCCATGGGTGAACTCTAGAAGCAGTAGAAAGCAACAAGAAAAAAAGAACATTACACATACCTTATGGTACATGCCATCACGACAGAGTGTATACTTCTCCAAGCAGGTACACCAATCCCCATGCCCTGGTTCAAACCACCATTCATCTGATACCTGAAAATAATTTGACACCTAGGAAGTTGGCTGAATATGTTCTCCATTCAAAATATACCAATGTTACAGAGCTGTATAATTACCAGATAGCATGATGCCTTTTAACAAATACATGACAGAGAATTCATAACTAAGTTATAGAGAAGTCACGTATAGCCCCTCTTCAATGGAAGAACGTGGAAAAGGAAAATGTTGGGTCCTAAAGAATTTTACAGCAATTTATTTTTGTGTATTATAGCATACGCTCCATATGAACTCTAAATCATAAGTTCAGGAGAGATAATCAACCATCATCATAAAGTATATAAGATACAGAAATTTCTCCAAGAAATTTTACACGAAATTTTCCATGTAATTCAAAAGAAACTTCAAGAGAAAGGGGATCAGAAACACAAGCCACATGAAGTGAATCACTACAATAAATCCTTTGAAGTGGGGTAATTTCTAAAATTTTATATAACACAAAAAGTTGGCATATATATTCAACCTTTTTGTACAATCTTGCATAAGCCTCCCACCGCTTTCTTTGAGAAGAAGATCTTCTGTCTGCAACTGCTTCAGAAGCAGCGAGTACAAAGCTCGCAGCCACGAGCAGATCTCTTCCATCCTCATCCACTCTGGTTGCAAGTGTCATCACACAAGCTATTGAATATAAATCTAATCATGCAATAAGCATTAATCAAAGAAGAAATACCTGACAATAACTGCAGCAAGTAAATGACTTCCTTCAACCCTAAGGACCGGATGTCCTGCTTTTAAGGAACTGTACTTCTGAAACACATGATCATCAAGTGGAGTTTTATCTTCCAGGTCATTGGAGAGATATGAGGATGATGTTATTTCGGAACCAATTACACTGCTCTTGGCAGGCAACTTATTACCAACTTCTTTATAAAGCCAATGGGCAGCGACTCCATGCTCCGCATATTCATGCATGCTCTGAAAATACGAGGTAAATGCTAGTGTTAGCTACTTAACTGCTTTACAAAACACTTGTCCACTCAATATATCATATTGTATACCTGTGTTCTTATTTGGACTTCCAAGGGTGTGTTTTCTGGACCATGCACTGCCGTGTGCAGAGACTGGGATTATAAGATAAAGAGTCAGAATTTGTGGGGAATGAGTAGAAGATATTGGAAAGTGCGTAGGTTACTCATGCTGATAGATTCATATGTATAATGTAACACCCCAATAAATGCCAAGTCAAAGCCCAAGGACCAGTTGTGTATTAGATGAAAGTGGTTGAGAGGAACACAGTTATGTGCATAATTGGAGACCAGATGAAGAAACTACTGGTCAGTTGTTGCTCTCTCATTGAAAACAATAAATCAATAAAGAAAAACTCGAAGAGTTGGAGCTTATGGAAGTAGAAAAGAAGCAAAAGTCATCCGGTGAGTTCAGAGACAAACTCAAGCTAAGAATTCATCCCAGTCTTCTGTTATAGTATATGGTCAGTGGTGTGACATGTTCCAGATGAGTTTGGTATGAAAATGACATGAAATCAGAGGCCATAAGACCATCAAAATTTGATGAAAGTAGTAGTCTTGGTGTTACTGATGAAATCAGTGAACTGAGAACACAAATTGAGGCATGATTGTTTCAGTGTCTTATGAAGTAAGAATGCCTGTCAGTAGTGTCCCAACAAACAAGTAAAATCAAGTTAGAAATGAGCCTTTATGCATTTTGGTCACCAAGTAATGCACATAATTTAAGCCATGTGAGCTCAAGCTCGAATTCAAGGTCACATCGGCTGGTCCGTGTGCAACTCGCGAGCTCGCATAGCGTAAGCGAGTTAGAATTGGAAAGCGGCCTTCAGCTCGAGCAGAAAGTCGTGTCGACTTCTGAAGAATATGATTTGACAAGATCAGTATAGAAAGCATTTAGCTCACATGTGCTTAATGACCAGTGTAAGTGATTAGAGAATTCATGACTTATGTAGGTAGCTTCCACAGGGAATCGGATTTACCAACATGGACCAGATGGGAGTTTCATGTGATTTCAAACTGGATTACGTATTATATACATGTTTCAGTATTTTCAGACCTATTTACAGTATTTTTAGATATGTTCAGTGTTCGCGGTCATTGTACTTGGTTGGTTCAGTTGTATTAGTTGGACCCAACCATGTCATTAAGTAATGAGATCTCAATTGTACAGTGTTCAATCTTTCATTGCAGGTGTGCAAGTTGCTCAATATGAAATGCATAACATTTTTTGCTATGTGCTAGCCATTGTGTAATCAGATGTTATATGCTATTTGTTCCAGTTCAGTTTTGTTGCTCAAATATATGTCGGCACTTAAATACTATGTTTTGAAATGAAATTTGTTAAGTTGTTATTCTGTATAAAACCAAGACCTCACTTAACGTAAAGCTAATATTAGTATGCATCTAAGGAGCCGCAGTAAAATAAGGAGGCATTATGATCTCCTCGGGTAGAAGGAGGCATTGTTGAAGGCAAAAATTCAACAACAAAAATATAAACTCTTATTTAGTTAACCCAATTACTGAACTAAATAACCCGAAACTGATTAAACCGGACCTTATTCGGTTCGATTATCGGGTAGTTTGGAAAAGAAGTTGAAAAACCAAATAACACAAACTGAACAACCCTAAAGCCAATTTAACCAGTCGAATAACACCAGGCCCTACCAATGGTACTAATCCTCGTCAAGTATTTTCATGACCGAATCTTGAAGCCTAATAAAACACAACATAGAGCAACAACTCCCTGATTCTAGCCCAAATGACAACTTATCACCCCCTCATCAAGGAGCAAGAGAGACATTCCATCTATACTGATCAGTTGAGCCGTTCTTTAAATAGAGAATTGACTTGTCTGTTAGTGTTCACTAGAACAAGCAAAAAGCGTAAATTATGTAAATAAAAAAAATGGTGCTCCATAATTTCTATTAATTTTTATGAAGCAGGAGCTGATTGATTTTAAGAAAATTACTGAAGGGGTCTTGATATAAAGCTGACATATCACAGAACTTCACTGAGAAAATAACAAATAACAGGGTGTGGCATTCCAAGAAGGTGATAAATATACTGAGAAAGAAACTTAACCTGATATCCACTTGGCTTTGGATTGACAATGTAATCATCAAACTCGCCATCAATTGGTGTCCAAAGCCTGCAGAAAGCAAATGAAAAGGTGAACATCTAAAACCAGTAGCAGTGTGTGGTTAGACATGCTAATTATTTATAAACCTGTGTATGATATTTAGAAGACTGTAACAACATCGAACAGCTTGTCCATTTAATGTTCCACTTTTATCGCCAACAATTACTCTCAGCGCACGTGCATCATATACTTTATCGATACTGACATCTTTACGATTCATCTGAGAAAAGGAAAAAGAATGTTAGCAAATAAGCCAACATTGGGCATCAAACAAGAAACTTTGACGGTGCATATACATGAACCGAACTGAATCATGTATGATACTACCTCCTATGATTAATGAGCCAAAGAATGAAAAAGATTCAAAGAACAGGAAGGGTCCATCAGGGATAGCAAAGTTTCCTAAAAGGCCCATCTCCTACATATTAATAACTCAAGTGCATGTCCCCAAGTTTTAATTGTTCCAGATTGGATGATTTTGATCCCCCAAGGTTACCCCTAGGCAGCGAACTGGAACAAGCAACCTCAAGGTTACACCTTGGAATAATGCATTATCCCAGGCCTCATGGTTACCTAATTCTTACATCCAACAAAGGAAATATGGACATCAATTATACCTTGCTGTAGATGCTGTACAAACTTTTTAGGCGGCTAGATAAGGTTACTTCCATTCCAGGAACATAGCTGCAAATGTAAGAATGACAACAAAGTCAAGGTGGGGTAAACAAGACTAAAGGCTAAAGATCTATCTCACATGATCTTACGAGGTTGATATAAACAACTCGCGTTCCAGTTCTTCCTCACAAACAGCCAGAGATGCTAGGGCAATTCCAGCATCCCTCACAACTTTTGGTTTTGTTTGGACCTCTGCGCATGACCCAAGATCTTGAATATATTTAACACGCTTTCTTCGATCAAGTAGGAGATCAAATGGAAGAACAGCTTGCAAAAGATCCTGCAGGTTGAAAAGGAGTCACCAACTTGATATCCTAAACATATCTAATGGAGCATCAAACACCCCATGTCCAAGTGGAATTAAACAAAAGTAGTAAATCACACAAGTTCAATCAGTTTACCAATTGAAAGAAGAAACAATAACACAGAAGAACACATGAGATCGGTATGGATGGGACACAGATACTAGATACAAACTTTGGGGAAATTTTCTCTCTTTTCTATGTAGTCCAATCTTGTTTTCTGAAAGGCCACTGTTCCTATCTTACAAATAAGAAATGGAGCATTGGATACAGAACTTATTATGTTTCCACCATACACCAGTATGTGAATAGTTCATGAAAGCAAATCATCCTATTTATTCTAACAGACCAGACTATTTTCCTACAGAGACCAAAAAGAACCAGCTGGACACTTTAGTGTGTATTACAAATATTGATATCCCAGATAAGCTTTCTTTAAATTTTTCAATTTAATGATCTTATCCTTTCCTTATTTAAGAGATAAGGTTAATGCCCTGCAAATGTAACAGGTGCTTAGCTCCATCCCAATCACTATAGCTAACTTACCTTCATGCTTACTATGACATCATCTATTGATGCTTCATACTCGGGAGTTAAGCTCTTTCTGTCTGGTTCTGCATTTAAGATGCTTTTGGCAGATAGTCTTCTCAGGTTGCCTACCCTGCTGCTGGGTGTCCACATGGAGGCCAGGTCAGATCGCATCTGGCGGAAGATCTGAGGCTGCCACAGTACTGATATTAGTTACAAGGTCATTTAGAACATTACTTATATCCTTCAAACTCTATAAAGGAACACTTAAACATAGGTATGAAACAGAATGTACATGCTATCATGCATAAGAATACATTCATGATCCATCATCATTAAATTAGCTTTATAGCAGAAATACCACTGACCTGAAGAACAGCAAAGCAGAGGTCTTCAAGTTCAGCTTTTAAAGCCCAAAGGCCCAATCTTGATGCAAGAGAGCACCAAATGACCAAAGTCTCCTGTGCTACAGCTTTAGCCTTGGCCGAGGGTAGAGCATAACTGCAAGCAAGAGAGAGTGTGTTACAACCAAAGCAATGCGCTTTGACTGAGGGAAGTAATACACTTAGTACAGTGAAATTCCCTAATGGAAATAAAATCAACGAAATTTGAGATGGAAAGAATAGAAATAATTCTCTCTAATTCATGATGCAAAGAAAGTAAATATAGAAACAAGTCATACATGGTTCTCATGTTGTGTAGACGGTCTGCAAGCTTGATGAGCACCACACGTGGATCGTCAACCATGCCCAAGAGCATCACTCTTAAATTATTTGCCTACAATTAGTAATTCAAGCTATTGTATATAAAGCATCTCACCTAAACGACAGATCATAAATCATTCAGAAACACGAAGATTTAAAAGCATACTAGATCTGCCACTTGAATGTTTAAGATTATTTTTTGGTCGGAAGAGCACACTTGCTGAAGCTTTTGTTTCTCTCCATTTTCTTCTGGTTATTGTTATTCTTAAGTGTAAGATATCATACTCGTATAGCAGCTCTTAAAACAACTTTCTGCCCCAGAAACCTTGAATTCATCAATTTTTTCAAGAATAAGGTGAAAGCAAATGGCTTAGGGTTGAGACTATCTTCAAGTTCATACAAAGTTCAAACACCTCTATCGGTGGCTTTTACTTGCCAGTTCCCAAAAAGGGCTTTCATGTCACCCTATCTACCTCAGTTGTAGACTTGTAGTTCATCCCTATATCCACCACATGTTCTTCGGACAACATGGATTTGGTGTTTATCACAAAGGTTTTATGTTTTGATGCAGCTTGGCATTATCAATATATTGCAAGCACAATGGAATACCTCTTCATAGCCAAGGGTAGCCTGCTTCACATTTACCCTGCGGTGTCTTCGTAACAACTGCAGGCATATAGCAATTATATCATTACTGACGGCAATTTTCACCAATCATGCAGGAAGACCAATCACTTCTAAGTAGTGGCTATATGACATTGACAGAAGCATGAAAATGTTCAGCTTCCACTTCATGCTTAAATGTAGAATCACCATAAACCATTTCTACTTCTGTACCTGATTGATATAACTCAACCTGGACACACCAGCTACCAGTTTTGCTATATCTTCACCAAACTCTCTCTCTATGCTGTACAAGCTTTCACATGTATCATCAACTACATCATGTAGTATGCCAGAAATGACTGTATCAACAGCCTGCAGCAAGATTGCCATTTGAACACTTCAATAAGTGATAATAGGAATATTCATTTGAGCTGCATGATTCTGCTATAATTGGATGATGGATAGATGTAAGATATTACTCTCTCAAAAAAAAATCTACTTTTGAATAATAAAAGTGTAAACCTAACATAGTTGATGGACAACAGGTGAATATTCATGTACTACCCCTTGTTCGTCCTGAGGGACGAACGAGGGTAGGTTAGCCAAAAGATGGTTATTGGTTCAAACTTCAAAGACATAAGGTGACTTTGCTTTTTCAGGGTAAGAAGGGTAAAGAAAATGCCTTGAGCCAATGTTCAAGTATCAGGCTCTACGGCACTAAAGTAAGACTGAGATAAATGTTTTAATTTGTTAGCTCCAAATGTCTACTTTGTATTACTTCTCTCATAGTTTAATTCCTTTAGCAATTTTTTCTCCATGATGTAAATAACTCTAAATGAATTTTGAATTTAAAGAGTAATCCATTTGACACCTCTTTTTATAGACTGAGGCAGTACAAAGAAGACAAAAGAATAGCTCACCTTTTTCCCAGTTGAAGGAACTAGGACAGCTAAGATTTTTGCTGTATTGATACAGTGGGTTAAATATGCCTCTCCTGTTTTCCGAAGCTGACCATGATGAGCTTTCCTTGCAAATGCAATTGCCTTCTGCACCTGTCTTCACAGATTTAGAATCTTTAGGCACTACGAGAGCATGTTATATGAAGACAACAGACACTACAGGTAGGGATGGTAAACCTTTGGGTCATCAAATACGGGGTATCCAGTAACATCCACTCCATCGAGTATTAAGGAACCTGCAAATTGACTAATTCAAGCAGTAGATAACAAAGACTGAATATAGATTGCATACTTTAGTATATCTGGCAGTAACATGAGCAACCAAACTCATGTAAAGTGTATATCAGATCTGATAACATGATTAACATCTTACATACGAAAAACAAACAAACGCTATAAACGATTCCAGTGATGGTCTCTGTCTTATGGTCTAATACAGACAAAACTTTCTATCACGAGGAGAAAGATTGATTACCGGCAAACCAATATGGAATAACCTTACAGGCAATTCAAGGTTCCACCAGAGAATTTATGAATCCACACTCCAACATTTGGGAAATTGATGAGATACGCATCAACTTTTGCAGTCTAGCTTGGTATATTTAAATGAAAAACAATATGATATACCGAACAAATTGAATACTAATATTGATCTATTTTTGTTCCTTGGTGTAATGTGTAACGTAATGATCTGATTTCTTTTTCTAAACTTTGGTTAAGCATCAATTCTGAAGTTCGAAGGTAGCCTTTTATTATACCGTTAAATTAGTAGTGGTACAAGTAGTTACTGCATAGAGCATACAAGTAGGTATTCCATATGCTTAACTATAAATAACTCGTCAGATCCAGTAGGTGAGTCATTCTGTTTGTTAAACACCTTTTGGGTGTGGGTCATGTGGAGAGATTCTGGCCTCTCGAAAGCCAGAAAACCCCCCTTTGTAAGCATTTGATTGGTAAGAAGCATTCATTTCCTTTTATTTAATCTTTGATTTTCTGGGTGTACATCAATTGGTACCAGAGCGAGATCGAACCTGCAGTGTTTTGCATGGAAAAGAATCGGAGGATGGCATCAGTTCTGTTCATAAGGGCATGAAATCGTTGGAGGAGGATATGGAAATCGTGAATAAGATGATGGACAAACTACTCAAACTTTATGGTAGGCCGAGGGAGATGAAGGCCACAAGTTCTGAGCCGCTGAGGAAGAACACCAGATCTGAGGCAGAAAAGAATGTTCCCGATGTTAAGAGGGAAGGAAGGGTTGGGTCAGGCCACTACCAACTCGAGCCGTTACAGCCGCCACCACCACCCTCACCCTCGTTGTCACAGCCCACCCTTTCATCACCGACATTTTTGTCATCAATCGACACAAAGGCCACCGAAAGAATGATTTGGAACGGAGGACGGCATCGATCTGGAACGGAGATGTCAACAATGGCCGCTTCAGTTATTCTACCACAGCCCAAGCCCAATCCAACGATTTCAACTTGGCCCAAGCTTGTGGTGACGAGCCTTATCCTCTACAAACTCAGAATCGTTAACGGCATACGAGGGAGATTGGTTGGCCCGCGATCATCAAAAACTGCCACCACCGCTATTGCCACCGTCATTGTTCAATCTTCACCTTTTCTCTTCAATTCCTTGTTCGACTGGGGAGGCAAGGACTTTGTACGATTGTTCTTCATTTTTTAGTTCAATCATGTTATAGTATGAACATCGCCTGTCCAACTCATACTAATTGGAGGCCTGGATGGTCGCTCAATGTGACCCAATTCCAATTCCAGGGGCATCAAAATTCGGACGATCTAGGCATATGGCGGATTTTACTGAAGAATCATATCATATTGAAGCTTCCATTCTTGAATGCTCGACACTCAACCATCAAGGTTTTGGCCCTTACTCCCATGACCCTCTTTTTACTATCACCTCAAATGCTTTCAATCCCCACCAGAGCGCCAAGAAGCAACAACTCAACCATCTTGGGTATGTTGACCTAGTGACATTTATGGTAGACCCCTATCACAAAGATATGGGAAACCGCTTTTCTTCTGACGTGGAATGTCGATCCGTGGTTCCCCTTGCTCTTGCAAATCAAGCATTTTATGGTTATTACAAAGAGAGGCATGCAAGAAGCAGCATAACCCATTCACATTTTGGTTCCATGGGGGAATCTTCAGCCGTGTACATCATTAGCTAACCAGTCCCTTGAGGTTGTTGAAACCTGGGTAGTACCGGATTGTCAAAGGGAAGATGAGGGGTCTATAAGTGTGGTAAATGAAACAAAGAAAATCAGACCACTTTCAGAATCAAATGGTGGGTTGCAAGATGGCTTTACTGAGTTTGTGGAAGAACATATTACCTTCGGTGAATTGGATGAATTAAAACCAAGCCTCAACAACAGAGGAACCCAACCCCTGTCTATCTCAGAAGTCGTTGCAACTGAGAGTGAGCCAACAAATCTGAAGCACAATCTAGACCCACTTTCAGTCAGAATCTATCAAAAACTCTTGAATTGTGACATTGGAGGGAAGAAGGGAAAAATGAACTGTGTCTAAGTAATGTTGGTATTTGTAGGAACTGTGAAGTGGCAGAAAAGCATGTTGAACTACAAACAAAATCCTTGGCCTTTGGTTCTACAGGAAACAACGCTGCTACTATCCATAGAAAAATCTCATGCCACACCCCCCTGATGGACCTCATTACTGCACCTACCGTTACACTCTCCACCCTCCTTATTGGAGTCGTCATTATTTTTCCCCTGCGAACGTGCTCAAACGGCCAAACCACCACAATCTTACTTAAATTCCATGTGATGAGTGCAACTCATAGCTCTGCCCAATGGACCTCTTTGGTATCCGGTCCAGCATGGTCCATCCATAGGTCCGTCTCAGCATCCTTATTTTCTGTAACTTATAACTTCTTCTCGTGTTCCTTTTTTATTATGCAACACTCAAACCCGTACAACATAATTGGTTTGATGGTCACCTACAAATTTGCCCTTCATTTTCAGTTTTAACCGAGCCTTTCTTTCCCACAACACTCCCGTGGCATCCCTCCACTTTAATCACACTGCCTTTATACGGTGCACAACATAGTAGTCGACCCATCCACCCTTCTGCATTAAAGATGCATTAAAAAGACTAGGTACTTAAAATTGTTTGTTTGAGGTACAATTTGCTTCCCCAATGTCAACCTTAACTCCCTCATCAATACACTCTCCGTTGAACTTGCACCATAGGGATTTGCTCTCAAAGGGGTTGATGTGTGCGTCTTCTCATTCTGGTGTCGCCCTCCACTGCTCCTACTTCGGGTTCGCCTCTTTCCTCGTTTTTGTTACCAACATAATGTCATCAGCAAATAACATACACCATGGGACACTCCTTTCCCGCAAGAAATCTCACCTAAAATCACCGCAAAGAGGAAAAGACTTGGTGTGGATCCCTGGTGCAGAATCTCCACTGGAAAAAAAAAACTAAGTGGGGTCATTTATCTTACGTGCATATCCTGAATTGCCCTGAATACATCAATGGTACCCGTCTAACCTCCAAGCTCTCCCAATTGCTTCACAGGATATGCTAGCATATGCCTTCTCCAAATCTATGAACACCATGTACAAATCCTTGCTACGTTTCCTATATTATCTCAACTACATATCTTGAATTACCCTGACATACATCCATAATACTTGTCTAACCTCCCAGCTTCCCCAAATTGCTTCGCAGGGTATGCTAGCATAGGCCTTCCCCAAGTCTATGAACACCATGTGCAAATCCTTACCACATTTCCTACATTTCTCCATCAGACGTCTTTGGAGGTGGATTGTCTCACTCGTCGACCTACCTGGCACAAACCTGAATTGGTTCTTTGTCACCGAGACTAATCACTTTCTCTCTCATACATAGTTTCATTCAGCAAAAGTTGTCGCAACTCAAACCATTGCCTTTATTCTTATAGAGCAACATTACCACCAAGTCTTGAGGATGCTGACATTCTTGAGGATGACGTTAAAGACTCGTAGAGTTTCATCACCCACTATACTCCCGCTTCCCCCGGGGCACCACCACGCCTCAACGTGAATTCGTTAGGGCCTATGGTCCTATCTTTCCCCATCTTCCTTGATGCCCTCTTCACTTCTCCCTTGCTATTCTTTTACAAAAACAATAATTACGTGGCAAATTGTTGCCCCGTCTGCTTCCACACCCCCCTCCCCTGTTCTCTTTAAGAAATAAGTGACAATGCAACTTTGCATATGAAAACTCCCAAGGCACTTTGACGCTAACTTGTAAAAGAAATCACAAGCAATATAGGAACACCTAGAAACATATGATTTATTCGGTGGAGGAGGCTAGGCTGGCCGGTGCGAACGCCCCCTTGTAAAATCATAAATTAAAAAAAAATATGGGCATTTCACCTCGAAATACGAAATTGTACTTGATGATTCCTCTCACATTACGACCTTTACCACAATGATGTTGTCCATAGATCAAATTATTTCGTAGATTGGACTTCACTTGACTGGCTACGGTTCATATCCGATTTGAGCTATGGACGAATATGCAAGCATATGTTTCATGCTGGTTGTTTGAGCAATAGTACTTAGTACCGGTGCCGCGGAAAGTATTTTTACCGTGTTATTCGTTCCTTATATAATATCTATTCTTCAAAAGATGGAATCAACTAAAATAGAGAAGATCCATTCTCATATATTTGAAAGCCTCAAGATTATCGCACCTCATGGTAAAAAGTTAAAACATAAATCGAAGAAAAAAGAAAGAAAAGGAACAAAATTTCACCAGGTTGTTCCTCAACTTTAGGCCATAAAAAATCAACCTTGGTAGATAGACAAGCTCCGGATGCAATTGCGACGGCGGTGACAGCGACTTGGGTAATAGCCGACGTTACTGCCCCATGGAGAGAACCGGACCCAGCGGCGGCGGCGGCAGCGATTACATTTCCTGAGGTCAAGACCGTACTTAAGGACGAGGAAACCGCGAATTTGGGGACAATTTGGTCCAGCATACACCGGAATCTCGTCGTGCTGCGAAGAAGATAATTCCTTTTTGGAACTAAAGAGTGGTAATTAGAGTTTCTGACGAGGATTAAAGAGCTTCTGCGACCAAACAACATCGTAGTAGTCTCGCATGAATACATCTGCAGATGCGGGTAAAATCACATGGGAACTGTATCAGTTTAACATCAAAGTAAAGGAGACATTCTTCTGATTTGGATTCGGGTTCAGGTTCGGGTTCGTTACAGTGTATATGATCAGAAAATGTGAATTGAACTTTGTGTGGTCTAGTTTTGTTTCGTCTCTTTCAAGTTCAAGGTTCTGGATTTTACACGCCCATTGACACGGGGTAAAATATAGTTGTTGCCAATCAACCATCCTATTTTAGAGATATAACCATTTGAGTCCTTTAAAGTCATTTGTCCTTCGACAAGGTGGGAGAGCATAGGATAAAATAAGGTTTTTTTTTTTTTGTTCTATCAAAATAGATGGAACAAGAATGAGACATAAACTAAGATATTACTAATTTATCCTAGTTTAATACTAGAAGAGTACTCGCGCAATGCAGCGAGATACATCGTGTTTTTAATATTTCATTTTAWTHKTTRTCTCAGTHGATGTTATAATATGACTTTATATGATTTTGAGAAAGCGATGATGTTTTTATTTTTGAATAAAATATATGTTTGACGATATCATAAAAATTTGACAAAAATAT